GTGTGTGTGTGTGTGTGTGTGTGGTATTTGCATGGGTTGCAGTGTTTGTCGTGTTGTGTTGCGTGCATGAAGGGACCCCATTGATATGTGGCTCATAATGTGATGATGCTTGAATCTCCCCCCGCCCGCCACCACACACACACACACACACACACACACACACACACATACACATATACACACACACATGTGCAGGACGATTGTGATATGAGCAGGCAGAATGTGAAAGGCTTGGTTGCTTCTGTTGTGTTGTGTACGTGTACGTGTACTTGGTGGTGTGTTTGTACTTGTAAGGAACGATAAATGCAAACAAACCACAGACAACTGGCAATGGAATTCGTGTGCACAGTGTGAACGAGGGCGGAAAGGGGGAGTGGTGCAAATGGTCGCGTTGCCTGCAAGCAAAGCTCTGTAGTGTCTGTAATGCTGGCCCATAACAAAAGGATTCGAATTCTATCATCAACGCTTGATGCCTGCTTGATGAGTGTGAGGTGCTGACGCTGTTGAAGGACCAGTGTATTGCGCCTCAGCTTGCGTGGTTGTGGCCTCTGATGATGAGACGTGCTCCGCATCAAACACCAACACGGCACGAACCAGTACACAGGACGGGTCACTGAGGAGGATTTCCGCCACGGGGTTGGCGTCAGGGTGCTCCCAATCCTTGTACGAGTCAAAGGGGCGTACGTTGTCGACATTGTCATCGTTGTCACCAGAAACCCTCTGGAAATCAACCACAGCAACATGTGCATCGTGACCAGCAACAAGAGGTTTGTTGCGGAAGGTGTAGAAGCTGTTGCTGGCCTGCATCCTCTCGTGGGACGTCGCCTGCGGGTGCACGCTGTGCTTCGTGACAGGATAGGGATTGCCGTACTGCACATCGCAAGCCAGCACGATGCGATAAGATTTGCCCGACTTCAGATGAGGAAGCTGAAGATCGGCTGGCACGTCGGCTCCGTCGCACTCTTGAGTAAATGCAAGCGCATAATCAAGGTCTGGTGTGAAGTAGAGGCCAGCGCCAAACCAGCCATCGTCTGTCATGCGCAGGCGCGCAAAGTCACTCCCCAGGATGCCCACAGCTGCATCGAAGGATTTCACGCCATGAAACACGCGCTGGATGCGTAGCTGCGGGTTGGCAAACAATTGCTGTAGGTCGAGCATCTTGTAATGCCGCGCCATTGTCACTTGCTCCAGCACATAGCGCTCCTCCTCGAGAGTGGCAAACCCAGTGCTTGTGTCGTGCCGATATTTGGGTGCAAATGGGTGGCTTGTGTTTCTGAGGTGGCCGCGGAAGCGCGTCTTGTTGCGATGCACGGCGCCATTGAACGCTGCGAGTTTCTGATCACACCATGTAATACCAGCAGCCGCGACCTTGCGACCAAATGGCCCAAGAAGGTCTGGCTGCCGAGCGGTGCGACCACCAGCCTGACGAAGGAGCTGTGGTGTGCAGTGGATGAAGATCAGAGCAGAATACAAAGCAGAGAGAAGGGCAGGGGGTGTGAGTTGTGACGACATTAGGACGGGGGGGGGCGAGCAGCGAGCACCAAAGACAGAAAACGCATACTACATTTCGCACACATCCACAACCACACAACCACACAACCACACAACCACACAACCACACACACACACACACACACACACACACACACACACACACACACACACACACACACACACACACACACACACACACACACACGCCACACATCACCCCGCCCCCCCCCCACCCACACGCACACATACACACGCACCGTCTTGACGATGCTGGCCTCATCCTGGTTCTCCAGATCAAGTGGCACGACGTACACTGTGTCGCGGGTTGACAATGCGTGCTTCTTCTTCCCCAGTGTTGCAAGGATGTCAGGGTCGAACTTCCACACAGCATCCGGCCTGCCATACAACAGCCTGGTTTGCTGCTCAAAATCAAGCGGTTCCGGTTCGTGCTCCTTGTTGGCGCAATATTGTGCCCTGAGTGCTGCGTGAAGCTGAGCAAAGCTGAGGCGGCTACCACTCGTGGTGAAGCAGCCACGAAGGAGCGCTCGCAGGTGAACCGGCATTTCCTGTCCGTTGATTTCTTCCTCGAGCGGCAGGTACTCGTGCTTGTCGTACTTGAGGGCAAGTTGCACCAGCGATACACCGTCCCTTTCATATTCGCCATGGTGCCATGGCTTGACAGCAAACCACACCTCCCACGCCAGGCAGCCAAAGGAAAATACGTCCGTGTCCGAGCGCAACTTCTTGCTCAACAGCTGCTCGGGCGACGCCCAAAGTGGGGTTCCGGTCACTCGGGACAGCGAAGAGGTCTCCGTGTTCTTGAACGTGCTCAGCCCAAAATCCGCCACCTTGGCGGAGAGCACAGCATCCAGCAGCACGTTGGGAGACTTGAGGTCGCGGTGCACCACGTCGTGGGCATGCAGGAACTCCATGGCGCCGGCAACCTCGCTCAAGATGCGCAGCCTGTCAATGTGGCTGAGCTTGCGCCTCTTCACGTACATGAAGTCGAACAGGGAACCGTTGTCTGCCCAGCTCAGCACAAAGAAGAGTGTTTTCTCTGCCTCGTCATAGCACACGCCCAGGAATTGCACGACGTTTGGGTGGCGGATGGAGGCGAGGATGGCCACCTCTCGCAGGACTCGCTTGTCGCCGTGATGACGCGACAGTGGCGCTTTCAGTCCGTGCACCAGCTCTCGCAGCCCGGGCCGCTGCCGGACATCCCCCACTTCCTTGAGGGCAACCATGTGCCCGGAGAATGTGCTTCGAAATAGGCGGCCAAATCTGCCTTGGGTGGGGTTGCCGTTTGAGTCTGTAGCGCAAACCTTCTCGGCAAACAAGGTGGGCCGCAGATTCAACCTCAGCATGCTCTCAGCGAGCTCTGTCACGCAGAGCAAGAGTTTTTGAGTGTGAAAACGCGGGATGAGTGCTTGATATCAGGTGGCACGAGACAAGAGCATTGCTCTGCTGTAGGGTATGCGAATGCCACGTTTGCGATCACAAAGTTCACACACAGCACAGAGCCACGGAGAGCCAGGGGCATTGGCACCATCTCACCTGCTTGTCGCGTGAGCTGGGCCTCCAACGATTGTGCGCCTGAGACTTCGGCTTCGGCTTCAAACCCTGATGGTTCACATGCATGATTGGAATTAGAATTAGAGAGATTGATACTTGACGTGTGGCATGTGTAGTGACATTGCAGGCTTGTTGCACAACGACACGACACAATAATCCATGATACGTGTCAACTTGCTGCAAGTGTGTTCAACATGTACCGTTATCTCGCCCGAATGTTGCGTTGTCCGGTTGCCTCGTACGGTAGAGGCGTGTGATGCACTCCTTGTGCCACGAAAGCTCGCTCTCTGTTGACCAAATCAATACAGTACATGATGTTGAGCGCACATCTTGGGTGTCAAAAGTGGAGCTTCTGAGTGAGCGAGGGGGACCTCACGTCTTCACGCATCGATCGTACAAAGGCAAACAACACACTGCTCTTCCTTCAGCGACGCCTAGCATCCCCGACTCGAAACGACCATACCTAGGCGTTTGAGCTGGGCCAAGAGGCGGGCTCGCTCATCACCTGTAAACAAGACGGGGGTTACAGGACAGGGCATATCAGAAACACTCTTCCTCAATCGATATTAGCAATGTTGTTGCTCATCTGCACCATCTTCGGGCGAGCTGTAACAGCGCTCGCCATCATGTCACTCGAAAACACCACACGCTTCTGTGTTGTACTGTGGCCCCCGTAAAACTCTCACTGGCGTTCTGCTGCAGCTCCACGACGTACTCCTTCAACCTTGCCATTTCCTCCATCTCAATCTCTGCCAACGAGACAAAACCAAAATCATGTGAGCGCAAGCCTGCCACGGACACACACGTGAGCAGACACATCCGCCAGAGACAGCATCCTAGGCACAACGAAGCGCACAGGACACAGCGCACATTATACAACTCACGTTGGCTCTCAATCTGCGTTCTCTGGCTTTCGATCTGGGTTCTGTGGCTTTCGATCAGACGGCGAGACTCGGCTTGTTCATCCACTGGCGGCAGTTGCACGAGATACCCCAAGGAAAAACGGTAAGTTCTTCAATCGAGCGTGCGTGGCATGCAGTGCAAGTGTTTGGTGCACGAAGACACCACAACACTTCTGAGACATAAAGACAGTAACGCACGAACAAGGCCGGCACGCGGGCGCATGCAACTTGCATGCAGGCACGCACTCACGGAGCTGTTCAATCAGGGCGTCTTGCTCTGCCACTTGCATGCTGTCGTGTTGACCAAACGCGTCGTCGTGCATAGAGGCTCGATGCGATTCGGCGTCGGTTGATGTGTTTACAGGGGAGCCCGTGGACGACGAAGCACCCTCGTTCGGTATGGCTGCACATGGACATTCGCCATTCGGGCATGTTGTTGTTGTTGTTGTTGTTGTTGTTGTTGTTGTTGTTGTTGTTGTTGTTGTTGTTGTTGTTGTTGTTGTTATTGTGAAGGACTTGAAGTAGGAAAGTGTACATGCATGCGAGCGAGCGAGCGCGTGTGTATGTGTCATGTCGTGTGTACATGTGTGTGTGTGTGTGTACGTGTATGTGTGCACATGCAAAGAGGAGTGACACATGCACGATCGCGAAAGTGAGCACATGCCTTTACTTCCATGCGTGGGGCACAAACGAGGAGACCCACCTGGGCCAGCTAAGTCCCACGTCAGCAGGCGGCCTGGATTCTCCCTCCCTTGCTGCTGCTCCACTTCAAAGTCCTGGCCTTCGTCAGCATCGCCATCCTCAACAACGTGAGCGAAACTGTAAGGAAACATGTGCAGGTGCCAAGGGAACGGGCATAGTAAAATGAGTGCGGTCGCACGAAAAGCAACGCGTGCTGACGCTATTGGCTACACCAGCCAGTGTGCCGCAACACGAGGGCGCAAGGCGTCAACCTTACGCAGGAGTCGATGATGCCCGTTGTTTCTTGGCTTTCTCGGCATTGTGGATGGTCTGGTATCCGCGAGCCGTGACCATGGAGTTGTCATGCACCCTGAGTGGTCAAGGCAATTTAGCCATAGCGCACGCGCAAGCAAGTGGAAATGGTTGTGAGTGAACAAGCAAATAAATCTATGACTGCCTTGGGGCACCTCACAGTATGTGACATGTCGCAGTACACGCGAGTACACACGAGATTGTTTTCATCTTGGGGTTGTGCAGCAGCACTTCTTCGAGGAAGAACATGGCTTGATCGTCGAGGTCATTCCCAGCGAGTCTGTGTGTTTGTGTATGTATGTATGTATGTATGTATGTATGTATGTATGTATGTATGTATGTATGTATGTATGTATGTATGTATGTATGTATGTATGTATGTATGTATGTATGTATGTATGTATGTATGTATGTATGTATGTATGTATGTATGTATGTATGTATGTATGTATGTATGTTTGTTTGTTTGTTTGTTTGTTTGTTTGTTTGTTTGTGTAAATGCTGGACTTCGCTCACAACGTACAATTGGCAATAAATGCACAGTAGGCCCACAAGCACAAGCAGCTACTCACGCAAACCAGATAGATGCCATGCCCCCCCTCAATTAAAACACGTACGAGACGGTGGTGAGCGACGGGTGGTTGAGCATGACCTCTGCGAGTTCTTGGACGCCGTGGGTAGTAATGCAATTGTTGGTTAAGCTTTGAAACAAGCCAGGCAATGTGTGCGCGCGCATGTGTGTTGACGTTTTGGGTGCGGTGAGCAGCATGAGCTCACGAGCGCGCAACCCTGCAGCCATGGGTACAACAGCACAGCAATGGCACACGAGCGACGGATCTCGGGCACGACAAACAAACACGCGCCACTGAGAGCAATACAAGAACACGAGACCACGCAACAAGGCCATAATGACACAACAACGCACTCCAGCCATTGCACGGTGCGGCCTCGTCTCAAAGCCTCGGCGACTGCTTTCACTGCAGTGTCCCCGAGACTTCTCCCAGTTAACCTATGCACACAAATTGGAAGGCAACTTGCATTGTGAGGCGGTGGCATTCCTGCATACAACCCGAAGTGAAGACATGGACCAGAACACAAAAGCAAAACAAGGACAAGGAATCAACGCTCACCGCAGGCGAACCAGTGACTACATCAAGCTCTCAACACCAAGCGACAACAAGACACACGAACATGACGAGACTGTTGCATTGGTTGGTTGCGATGGCCATGATGGCGTGTCTTGTCTCTTCATCCAAGCCAGCGTTGGCCAGCAGCACTCCAAGGTTGTCCATGGCTCCAGTGTGTGTGTGTGTGTGTCTATGTGTGGATGTGTGTGTGTGTGTTGTGTGTGTGTGTGTGTGTGTGTGTGTGTGTGTGTGTGTGTGTCTTGGTTTTGTTGTGTCACTGTCTGTCGTGCTTGCTTGCTTCTTGCTCTTGCTTGCTTGCAGGCAGTGCTGGAGTTTGTATCATTTTATGTGTCGCTGTCGCTCAGTGTTTGGATTTCACACTTTCTTGCTCTGCTTGCACATCGACGTTGCTTCATCATCCAATCTGACGAAGAGCATCCAACACCAAGCCACCAACAGCAGAGCAGCCTCCTCTCCTTCCCAGCCTCCCTTCCTTCTGAACCATGGCCGCGTTTGCGATGTGGGTGTGGAATGGCCTGAACCGCATCCTGGATGGGTCCGTGTTTGTGACGCGGGAGCCGCAGCCGCCGCCGATTGACCCGGATGCGCACCCGTATGCGCAGGCGCATGTGGAGACGTACCATGGCGAGTACCGGCCGGCGTATGCCAAAAAGTCCACAACAGTCTCGCCGCCAACGTACGCGTCTGTAGCTGCTTCCAAGCCAGGCACCGCAGAGCAGCTTCGCGGCGTGGTGTCGCCTGCGCTGCTGTTTGTGCACTTGGATCAGGCGCGCGGCATGGGCGAGCAGGACGTCATCAACACCGTCCAGGCCTACTGCTCCAATCCAAGCGCTGCCAAGTTTGCGCCCCACGACATGATCGACATCATCCTCAAGTTCCGACTCACAGACCCAGCCAAGGTGTGTGTGTGTGTGTGCGTGTGTGCTTTGCTTGTTTGTGTGCGTGTGTGCTTTGTTTGTTTGTGTGCGTGTGTGTGTTCGTCTGTGTGTGTGTGTCTACTTTGTTTGTTTGTTTGTGTGTGTGCGTGTCTACTTTGTTTGTTTGTTTGTGTGTGTGTGTGTGTGTGTCTACTTTCTTTGTGTGTGTGTGTGTGTGTGTGTGTGTGTGTGTGTGTGTGTGTGTGTGTGTGTGTGGTGTCTCCTTGGGCTCTCTGAGTGCAGTCCCCTTTGATGAGGCAATCTTCGCGTGTGTCCTCAAGTTTCCATTCAATCGGCCCTTTCACCTGTACGCAGTTGGCTGTTGTCAATGCCATCATTTCTGCTGGATGGCTGGAAACAAACGTGGACGCAACCACGTGTCGCGCGCTCCTCGCTACCATGGAGACAGACGTCGCAAGGGTGCGCACATCTGTGCTTGTGTATGTACGTGCTTGTTTGTGCATGTGTGTTCATGTGCGTGCCAATGTGTGTGTTCTTGTGTGTGTCCATGTGTGTGTCCATGTGTATGTGTTGTGTATCTATGATTGTATGTGCGTGTATTCATGGGTGTATGTGCGAACACGTGTTTTCTCGCCTCCCCCCCCCAACTTAAACATTCGTCGCATGTTCCGATCTCATTCGTGTACTCCTCGTCCCATTACAGCTGGAGCTGCTGCGCATCGTATCACGCGCCATGTCGCCGCTGAGTTTCCAAGACAAGGTTCGTTTCCTTCTCCACCTGCTTTGTCCTGGACACGCACACCCTGTGTCTTGCCTCCCTCGATCACCCACATGCACACACACACACACACACACACACACACACACACACACACACACACACACACACACACACACACACACACACACACACACACACACACACACACACACACACACACACACACACACACACACGCGCGCGCGCGCATGTAGGACTCGATACTGTTCACGTTCCAGCCAGGAGGGAACCGAACCAACGCCCTTGGCATCCTTCAGGGAGCTCGCCTGCTGAGCTGAGTCCCCTCCTGCCAATGCTCTCGTTACCCACTCCTCCCAATGAGTTGTTATGCTGAACATATATGTATGTATGTCGGTGTCTTTGTCTTTGTATTTTCACAACAACGTGTTTCAACAACCAATGCACCCAATCAGCAACACACAAAACAAGGACACGCGAAGAATCAGTGTAGAACAAACCTACGGCAGAGAAAGGCGAACAAGCGAGCACAGCATGAAGCACAACATGAGAGAAGGAAGAGAAGGGAGGGAAAGGGTTCAGATAAAAAAGCCAGACAACACCGAGCGCTGCGTTGGATGGGGTCGGCCATGGGCATCTTCCTCAACAAGTGGCAGTCAGCATTCAGTGCGAGCCAGTGCAGAAGAAACGGCAGCCACACGCAAGGCCAGCTATTGAGGGAGGCAGTCGCAATGAACAGGTCAACAAGGGTTAAGGTGTGTGAGAATCACTGCAGCTACGTTACCACCCTTTCTTTGCACGTATCCCAAAGCATGGCCCCCCGCCCAAACATGCAATCGCGCACAATACATCGTCCTCACACACACACACACACACACACACACACACACACACACACACACACACACACACACACACACACACACACACACACGTGCAGCAGTCTTCCTTCGTCTTTGCACACAATGACATCACACAATGACATCAACACACCCTATGAAGAAAAGCCGGGGGACATAATACCGTTCTTGTCCTTGCTGACATCGGAGTGCGGGTTGAGCATGCCGGGAATGGCTGCAAGCCGCTTCATCTTGCGCTCTTGTGCCTGGCGAAAGGAGAGCGAGGACAAGCAAGACAGACACAAAAGAGGGAGAGGGAGAGAGAAGGGGTGGAGTGTGAGCGCGATGGCTCGCTCGCTTGGCGTCAGCCAACAACCAGTCACAGACGCACACAAGCAGACATCACGCGCCACACGCACAGACACAGACACAAACAGATAGACACACACACACACACAGACACACCTACACACACCCACACACACACACACACACACACACACCTCCTTGAGCTGGTCGGCGCGCTCCGTGAGGAAAAGGTCGCCCAAATCACCGCTGGCCATTTCCTACAGAACCAACCCACACGATATACATGCGCGAATGCCATGACGATCAGCAAACAAAACAGTCCAAGCACCGACATGCAATCACTTGCAACATGCACATGCAGCGCAGGCCATAGCAAGGGCAGCCAACACCCAAGCAACACCAACAGCAACACCAACAGCACCAGCGCCCACACCTTGGCCTGGACAATGAGGTCGCGCAGGTGGTTCTTGAACTCGCCGGGGCTCTGGTCATACGCAAAGAAGCCGTCAACAATCACAGACACTTGTTCGCTGTTGTTGTGATTTGCACGTTGTTGCGAAAGAGGGCGGGGAGGTCCCGCAATACAAGATGCGGTAGTGCGTGAGTTCCGTCAATCAAAACCAACAAACCAACCAACCAACCAACCAACCAACCAACCAACCAACCAACCAACCAACCAACCAACAACACCTATTCCCCCCTTCCTCACGTTCGCACACCGTTCGCTCTTACTCGGCAAAGTGAGGGAAGTTCTCCTTGAGCAGCGAGCCAACAAACGAGCGCACGACGTCCTGATGACAACAAGGAAACAATACAAACACAAACACGGTGGCGGTGAGTGAAAGCACAGATTGTCTCGGCGCGATTGAAGCATCCGCTGAGTCCACACACACACACACGCACACACAACGCCCCCTCCGTCCAGAAATGAAGACGTGGTATACCCACCACATTTGCCGACGTCTGGCCCTCTTGCAAAGGCACATCGATGGTGCCGTTCTCGACCAAGAAGAACATCTGCGACAGCAGCGCCGTATGCTGCACCATATCTGATTGCAGCAAAAAACACCAGAACGAAGAAGGAACAAAGTCATGAGTGACTCACGCGATCCAAGCAACACAAACACGAGCAAGCAAGCAAGCAAACAAAACACAAACAAACAAACAGACAACTTACTTGCTGCGTATTGGGGGTCTGTGGCGATGAGGAGAATCTGCTGGAGCACCTCAAGGAAGAAGTTCTGGAAGAAGAGCTGCTTGAACGTGGCGCTACCCGCCGCCGTCATCAGGTTCCGGAGCACCTTCAGCGCTGTACACAGCCACGACATAGCAGCAAGCAACAACAACGACAAGAGATAATGACAACAACAACAACAACAAGCGACCCGTCACCCGCACCCACACATCCACACATACGAATAAGCACGTGAGTTGTGAACGGGGGCAATGGCTCTTGCATGCATACTACCGAGATTCGCTTTCGAGCACATGCCGGCCCGCACTAACACCACACACACACACACACACACACACACACACACACACACACACATACACACATTCCCATTTCCGGCACAAATGGAACGTACAGCACTCTGCGACGTCGCGTTGGGGATGACGGCAGCCCCAGATGATGGCGTCAAGTACCGTCTTAAACTGCTCCGGTGACAGGTCCGAAAACACATCCGTCGTGCAGTTGACCACAGCACCCAGCCACGCAAAGAACGGCCTCCTAAATTCGGGGAACGTCTCAAAGTCCTGCCATCAACAAACAGTATCACACACAAGTAATGTCAGCCAGTGGCGTTGGCAGAGACTACACGGCTGCGGAACACGCCTCCTCCATCCTCCTCAACACACCCACCCACTCACCCACACCACAATCCCCTGCAGTCCTTGCGCTCTTGCACGTGTTTCTTTGCCTGACATACCTCCTTGATCATGTCGACGGTTGGCTCAAACAAGTGCTGGAAGATGTCGCCCATCGCTGGGAGGAGGCTCTGGCCCAGGCGCGAAACGCACTCCGCAACCACACTGAGGACGGTGCTCTCTCTGCTCTGGGGCACGGTTTCGCTGTAGTCGCTGAGCACGTGCTCCAGCAGCGTGGGTGTCAGCGCCTCCAGCTCCTCCTGCGATGTGTCCGCGCGCTGGTACAGCACCTCAAGCACGCGCAAAATGTCGCGGCGAACAGCCCGCATCGTCCGCACAAGCGGCTGCTTCGTCACGCTCTCCCCTGCAAAGCAGCATGATGTACACGGCATGAGTACACGGCAGCATGGAGACGAGAACACACTCATCGTCATTGACGATTCCAAATTGTCTCTTCTCCTGCCTCCTCCTCCCTCCCTCAAAACAGGTTCGTTACAAAACCAGAAAAAAGTACGTTCCTGTCGCCCCTCCTCCTCCTGGCTCCTGGCTCAACTCGCACAGCCTAAACACGCGTACACACCGCTTTGGGCGATGGCCGAGGATATGTGCTGGGACATGGTGCGGTAGAGGAGCATCGAGTCGTTGAAGATGTGCTGCAGCTGCACCATGAACGCCGCGCTCACGGTCGAGGCAACCGCATAGTTGCAGCGGAAAAAGTGCACAAGCTGCTTCAGCGTCGCCTGATCCATCAGCTGGTCGGGTTGCTGTCACAACGGCGCAAAACAGCATGTTGAAATGGTTGCTGGTGGTGAGCCTCCCGAGTTGGGGGAGAGTGCGAGCAATCAGGAAAAATAGCAGCGATAAACAAGCAACACAAGAATAAAAGCACACAGGAATCAAGGCACGCACACACATACACACGCGCATACACACACACATGCGACATTTCAGTTGTTGCTGTTGAGTCGTCTGCATTACCTCCTGCACGGCCTGCATGGTACGGGACCACATGGAGTTTGGCAGAGCCATGAGGTGCTGCACAAGGGCAGTCTGCTGCTCCGGGTCTGTCTGTGCAGAGATCATGTGGCCAACCGCCTTGAAAAAAGTCTGAATCTGCTGCTGCGTCAGGTCCTGCGTCGTGCGGCCCATGTTGTCGATAATCTCAATAACAAACGGCTTGGTCTCGCCCAGCTGTTGCATCACAAACATCTGCTTGCACTTGGTCGCAATCTTGATGAACGTGTCGCACGCCATGTCCTGCACGCCATCGTGTTCCTCTGCAGAAGCAAGGGGTAAGGACAAAGCAGGGTGTGAGAAGGAAAGGAAGGGCGATTCATGTCATTATGGCATGGGCTGCACGGTTGCACGGTGTGACATGATTGTGCGTGCATTTCGATTGAGCAAAAGCAGCGTTGCATCTCTGTTTCCCTCGACCACGCTCAACACACCCAACACACCCAACGATACGCACCGTGCATGAATTCGAAGAGCTTGTTGACGACCGTCTTGAGGAACTTCCAGTGCATCCTGAGGAAGCGCGGGTACTGGCCAACGACGTACATGATGTTGGCGGCAATGACGGCCTTGTGGTTCTTGCCACGGCGCGCCTCGCACAGACCAAGCAGCTCGCGAATCACCTGCACCAAAAACTTCTTCTCATCGTCCACGCTCATCGTGCCGCTGATGGAGCCAATGGCCCAGCACAACGTGTTGAGGTTGTGCCAAGAGTACTGCGAGCCGTCAACGATCCGTGCGAGCATGTCCCGCATGATGCGGTTCGTGTCGTACGGATCAAGATGCGTCAGATACACTGTACACATCGACAGAAGGCAGCGCACACCAAGAGATGCACGGAAATATCAGCAACAACAGCAACAACAGCATACACATGCGTCAGCAGTGTGAGCTTGGAGTGGTGTTGAATATTGAATGTTTGGAGCGGTCCAGTACGGTGTGACCACTGCATACACGGACACGCAACGCAACGCAAGCAAAAAGCACAAACAAAACGCCCACACACCCACACCCATGCCCCCCCCCACACCCACACGAATAAGCACTGACCAAGGGTGATGCGGACGGCCTTGTAGAGCTCAATGGTGTCGGTGTCCTTGGCAAACTCGCGAACGGGCTCACCGTCCACCTCCACAATCAAGACCTCCTCTGGCTTGGGCATCTGGCTGATGATGACGCTCCGCACCTGCACGCCACCGCCACAGGCCATGAGCAACACGACGAGCTTCACAAACAGCGATCCCGCTTGTAGAGGGCCAGGCAAAAAGGCGGCGACGCAGCAACCAAGGCGCAGGTCCCGCCCCTTTCCTCTCCTTCCCACTTTCCTTTCCTCCCGACGCTCACCGTTGACAGAAGGTCATGGTAGAGGTCGTAGCGGTACTTGGGCTCGTGGTTCGGGGTGAACATGCCCGTGCCGCAAGCAGTCCTGTCCACCAAGGCACACAAGCATCACGCAAAACCCGCAACCGCATGTTAGCTCAGTGTGCGTGCGTGTGTGAGTATGTGTACGCGCCACACAATATGGGAGAAATCGGCAGTTATCGCGGCTCACTGGCTCTTGACTTACGCTTCAGAGTAGAGGCTGCCTGCGAGGGTGGACCAGTACTCGAGCATAATCTTGAAGAGCTCCTTGTCTGCGACGGTGGAGATCATGAGGGCGTAGTTCATGCAGATGTCATGCGTCTCACGAAGGGATGGGTCGGCCTCCAGCAGTTGCCCATGCTGCTTCAGCCACGACGTGAGAAACAGGGCGAGCATGCGAATAAAGCCTTGCTCCTCCATTGACGCCGTGTGCCACATGCCAGCCACATCCGTCGAAGGCGGCAGCATCTGTTCATGACAAAGCAGTGCAACTGTTGGGGTTAGCGCGCGCAGTTGGGCTGAGGGAACCAAAAGGCGAAGGAAGGGGGAGGGGGCACAGGAGACGAGGACTAGCCGTGTCAGTGCCGTGCCAGTTGCGAAGGCACAAACGGTGTCACACGACATGCCACGGCAAAAGAGATAAAACAACGACCAGGGACAGCGCAGAAGGGAAACGACAGACCTCGACAAGTTGCTTGAGGGCGCCCTGCAGCAGCTGCAGCTGCTTGGCCTGGATGCTTTGCAGGTCGTCCATGGGAATGTCCGCAACAGCGTCACCAGGAAGCGCAGCTGCAACACACCCACACCAATGTCATCAGGCAAAGAGAAGCAAGCAGGCGACCAGTGTGAGTGTTGTGAACATGACAGGAGAGCAGCAGGCAGCATGAACCTCGCAGACATACACAGTTGACGAATGATCGTTTATTCAACGCACCAATTTCAGCCAGGCATTCCAGCGTCGAGTTGCGGAAAATGGGCACATTCAAAAACTGGGAGTGTGTGTGTGTGTACGTGAATGGGAGAGAGAGAGAGAGAGTGTGTGTGTGTGTGTGTGAGCGTGAGTGTGTGTGTGAGTGTGTGAGTGTGTGTGCGTGTGCGTGAGTGATATGTGGGTGTGCGTGAGTGATATGTGGGTGTGTAATGTTATCGATGCTCACATCAGTTGGCAAAACGAAGTTTGGATCATGGACATGGGGGAGACAAAGCACGAGTGAGCTGTGGGGTGGTGTGCTTACCCGCGTGACGAGCAGGTTGATGAGGTTTGTCTCAAAGACGTAGCCAATGGGGATCCAGCTCAGGAACCGCAACATCGTCTGTCAAGGGAAGCGCGGACTTAATGTTGAGCAAAACAGCCATTGAAGCTAAATGTCACAGGCAACTCCTCACGACGCACCCACCCACCCACACACACACACATTACACAAAGATAAACACAAACACCCACCCACCCACACAGCCACACACACACACACCTGCAAGGCTTGGTTGATGAGGGTTGGCTCGCCGGCATTTTCGAGAACAAATTCACACAGCTCATAAATGGGCCCAAACTCCTGGCACAGCGCGTCCTTGAGATGTTGCGCCTTCACCTGCACAATCTGACCTTTGGAGTAGTCGAAAATCTCCTCGCTGTGCACACGAGACAAGCGGTCGCATCATGATTGGGACACGTGGGTAAGCTCATGTTGAGTGTGTCTGTGTGTGGGGGTGGGTAGCGAGCAGGGAGGAGTGTGCCTTGCGTGACGTGTACAGTACATGCCCGGCAGCATGCAAGCACATCCAACAAACCTCACACACACACACACACACACACACACACAAACCTCACACACACGCACACACACGCACGCACGCACGCACACACACACACACACACACACCTCAGGAGCTTGAGAATCTCCAGGTTATTTTGGCAAAGGGGTTCGCTGGTGCGGGATGCGCCGACAATATCTGTGATGAAGGACGGCCATTGCTGCGGCCACTGCTGCTTCAGAATCTGCGTTGTTGCGAGGAGTGTCACGCAGAACAACACGCAAGACACAGCGGCTGATAAGTTGCACGCGCTCAAACCAACAATCGACAAATCACATTTCACGCACTCATGCACGCGTACGACTGCACAAACGATAGGGGCATGGCGACACCCGACAAAATCGCGCCCAGGACTGGGCAAAAGCCTACCTGCACGAGGACTGCGTTGAGCTTGGAGAGGAGCACTCGGTTCTCTTGCAAGCTCTCAAAGTCCTTGGAAGCCTCAATGGTCATGGACACGATGAAGTTGCGGATGCCTGTCCAGCCAAAGTGTCACAGGCGGACGTGTTGAGCATGCAAGCACAACACAGCAGCACAAACACAAACACAATCACAAGAACAAGAACAAAAGAAAGAACAACAAGAACGACAAGACCCAGAACTCCGACCAGAACCACGACCACCCCCCCCCTCTTCCTCTCGCTCGTCGTCCTCAAGACTTACCCTCTGTTTGTTCCTCTGGAAGCAGTTTCCACTTCGTCCGAATCACGTCCTTGAGGATGTTGAGAGCAAAGTACTGTTGGTGCCGTTGTCGTTGGCCAAAAGGAACATCAAACACACACCGCAACGCAACGAGGTGAAGATGGGAGGTTGCGTGAGGTGAAGATAGGAGGTTGCGTGAGTTGTAGTTGCACGCACGCAACACACACACACACACACCACACACACACACACACACAGGCGTGTGCTGGTGTCTGCAATGCGGGGTGCGAGACGAGGAAGCAAGGAAGCAAGAGAGCACAGGCAAGCACAAGGAAGCAAGGAAGCAAGAAAGCGAAGCAAAGGCTGCGCGGTCATCACCACACCTTGGTGCTCGGGTACTGTGATTCTTGCAGGATCTGAGAGGCCCGCATCCACGCGTCGGGGTGCTCCTGGAACTGCTTCATAATCTGTTCGGCCATCTTCTGCTCTGGGCACCCGGGCCTGGACTCGTAGAAGAAGCGCACAATGGTGTCCAGCACCGAGACGTCGATGCTCGCCTGCTCAAAGTCGAGCAGCTGCGCGGCCTGCTCCTCTGTCAGCGACATGGCTGCAGGTGTTGCTTTGTTGTGGTGAAGTTTGAGGACAAGTGTGTTCTGGTGCGTGCGGTTGTGTGCTGGTTGCCTGCCGTGAACGGTCGACGTGTGTGTGTGTGTGTGCGTTTGTGTGTATGTGTGTGTGTGTGTGTGAGGGTTGGTGGCAGGAGAAATGATGATGTTGGATGATGGATGATATCGGTGAGAGGGGGGAAACAAGGTCATGTAAGGCGGAGGAGAATACAAGCAAGAAGCAAGGCGTCCGGTGCTCGTGATTCAGGTGTGTGAACCACCACAACACACACACACACACACACACACACAATCTGCAATCTCTCCCTCCATGCCATCTGTCCCTCCCCTCTCTTCTTCCTGGCCGTGTCGCCGACACAACGCAACACCGTGCACCACGTCACACATGCAAGGAGACACCTCACCAGCAGATGAGGATAAGGGCAGGGGGTTGGTTTTGTCGAAAGCGACTTCAAGTGTGTGTGTGTTGTTCTTTCTTGCGTGGACGATGATGATGGTTGATGGTTATGGAGTGGAAGACGTGTGTGTGTGTGTGTGTGTGTGGGTGGGAGGGGACTGGGGTACGTGTCTTTGCACAACAAGCCCAAACAAAGAAGGCCAGCACTGGCGATGGTGGTGATTTGTGTGCAAGTCGCTCTGTTTCCCGGCGTCGAAAAAAACCAGATTCCGGGTTTGATGTCGTTTTAAGGTGCCCGCGCAGGCCGCCCCCAGCCAAAACCGGTTTTGCCATGAAAATTTGCAGAAAATACGCAACAAAAACCGTGGTGGCGTTGCAGCGCGATGACGACGTGACAAAAAGGCACGAACAAAAACGGGCAGCAGGCGTTTGATGGAGGTTTGAAGAAGAACAACAAGTGTGTGTGTGTGTGTGTGTGTGTGTGTGTGTGTGTGTGTGTGTGTGTGTGTGTGTGTGTGTGTGTGTTTGTGTGTTTGTGTTTGTGTTTGTGTTTGTGGAGAAACGCGAGTGGGGGGGGGGGGATGTAGGTGATTGTGCGTGTCATGTGGTGGAGGCTCAAGGCACTCGCGCCGCCGTTCACTTGCTTGGAGGGGTGGGCACAGAGCCAGAGCACCGATCGGCATCGCCCAGCACCGTGGAGCAGATGGCTTGAGCAGTCTGTACGTGCGTGCGTGCGTGTGTTTGCAGTGTGAGTTGCAGGGGGGTGGTTGAACAGGAGACAGTGGAGCCACAAATACGCAAAGAGTGCGGCCGCCGCAGGGCAGGGGGGCGGGGTCGATATAAAGCCACCGCAACGCGCATTCCACACATGCACACACACACACACACACCACACCGACAGACAGACACACACACACACGTACGTCAGTGGGAGATGCCTGGCCGGAGCTGTAGGGCTTGAAGAGCTCCCAGAAGAAGCCGCCATCGCAGTCGCCCTGCACCTCGCTGATAATCTTCTGCAGCTCAGCCTTGGTCAGCGGGAGCTGGTGCGTTGGGTCGTGCTTGGGCGATGGATAAGCCGGCGTGCCAATCTGTAGATTAGCAGCAGCAGCAGCAGCAGCAGCAGCAGCAGGAGGAGGAGGAGGAGGAGGAGGAGGAGGAGGAGTTAGTGAGCAATAATGCGGGGACGAACGAGGAAGGACCAGGTACAACGGTCACTCGACCAACGAAAAAAAAAAAAAAAAGGCTGCACAATCCGTGTCTCAGACACAGACACAGGCATACACACACATACACACACACACACACACACACCACGAGATGGTGTCACCTCGTAGCCGACGTTTGCGGGGATGTTGGCGGCCTTGTACTGCTGCATGTAGAACTTGACTTGGTCAGAGAGCGAGCAGATGTTGGGCTACGAGAACCAAGACAAAAATGAGTGTGAGTGGCGCGGGGGGGGGGCTTGCATGCCGATGCGCAAGCGCTTGTACCATGTCATGCAAAACCAAACGCAAGCACACACGGGAGCAAACAAGCATGCACAAGCAAAGCGAGTGTGCAAGCTCATAAAAGCAGCTCTACACTTCACCAGCCACACACACACACACACACACACACACGCACACACGCACACACACACACACACACACACACACACACACACACACACACACACACACACACACACACACACAGGGGCACAGCTTGTGCGCACCTCTGGGCACTCGTGGAACTCTGGGTTGTCGGAGAGATCGTAGGTCATGACGTTCACGCCGCCGGCGTTCTTGCCCTTGGTCATAAAGTCAACCAGGCTCGGGTACCACTGTACGCGACGCAACGAGTGGGGCAACGCATGGGGTTTGGTGGCGTGTGGAGAAATGAGTGCAAGCAGCAATCCACCCAGCCAACGGCCTTGCAATTCATCATCGCCCTTCCCTCTCCGCACACGCGCACACCAACACAAGCTATCACGTACTAACACACATACTCTCACACACACACACACACTCTCTCTCTATCTCTCTGTCTCTACCCTCTCTTTCCATCCCTGCCAACGCCAAACGTACGAGGTTGAGGTAGTACATGCTGGTCTTGAGGTTTCCGCCCCACCAGCTCGACGACCAGCCACCAACGGCGCTGTAAGCAACGGGATACAACGGAAAAGAAACAAAAAGAAAACGTACAGTGAATTATAACACCACGGCCGTCGCAGCAGGAAGATCACGACAGCGTGGATAAAGCCAGCACGAGTACACGAACGCACACACACACACACACACACACACACACACACACACACACATTACACATCACATCACACACACACATTACACACGCAACAGACCTTGCAGCAGTGGAAAGCTTGAGCTTGGGCATGATGTTCTGGATGTGGAGGATGAGCGTCTTGGCAATGGCAGCGTACTTGTACACCGTCTGTGGCAGCCACCAGGGGCCGTTGCCATACTTGAAGTAGTCAGCTGTGGTGCGGTCGCGCGCGTGTGTGATTGAGTGTGTGTAAATACATACAGAACGAGGCACCAAGGTCGTCAGCTTTGCTGTCGTGATAAACTCAGGGCAGAGTCCACATTGAAGCGCGAGTATGCGACAGACATGACACAACAGCACTCATCATTTCACACACCGTGCCAGAACTCCTCGTAGTCGAGATCAATGCCGTCCACACCAAGATCCTTCGCCAGATACACAAAGTCCTGCAACATGGGGGCGCGTGGATCGTGCGGTGTCGTTAAGTGAGCAGAGCAGGGCAATGCCGTCAACACGACCGCCTCCGCAAACACACACACACACACATGACATGCAACACGTAACACAAACAAACAACAAACAAACGAACAAACAAACAAGACACGCACACAACATACACACACGCACATCCCACCTGGTATGGGTCGCGGTTGAGGCGCACAAAGTCGTAGCGACCGGGGACCTGGACCTGAATTCCGGTCTTGGGATCCGTCCAGGGGCGGCCGGGGACCTGAAAACAGAAAAGGACAGCGAGGAAGCGAGGAAGCGAGGAAGTGGAGAATGTTAGTTGACATACTACTGTCACAGACACGCACAGACACACACAGACACACACAGACACACACACACACACATACATGCACACACAGACACACACACGCGCACCATCTCGTAGTGCCACGCTGGGGTCTCGTTGCCCTTGGCGTTGCTCTCCACAAACTTGACGGCCTGCTGCCACGTGTCGCTGCCAGGCACCGTGGGGAAGATCTGAGAAGCACGAGAATGCCAACAGAGGAGTGGAGTGTTTAGCTTGTTGGGTTAGCTGTTGTGATCATGTGCTGCCGTTTTGAAAGAGGAAGACGCATGGTTGAGTTCAAGCACACAAATGAACACAGACACAGGCACAGACACACACACCACGCACACAGATACAGACACGTACCGCGAAATCGCTGAGGTCTGTGCCCTCGGATGGGGGCTCGCAGACCCAGCAGTACTGGTTGGCGTCGTTGCAGTTTGACATGTTGCCTGGGGCAGAGGGCAATCAGCATTGACGATGAGGTGAAGATGGGTGGAGGGAGCGTGAAGAGATATCGTGACTGGTACAAGCACAACCACTCGCAGGCAACCCCGACACACACGCACACGCGCGCAGTGGTCTGACCTTGTCCGTATTGGTCGATCTACACGCACGTGCACATCCAAACAAGGATCAAAGGTGGCGAAAGCAAGTTAGTACGGTGTACATGCACACACACACACGCACCCTCGCACACACACACACACACGCGCGCGAGGTTTCTGACCTTCCAGTAGTTGGGCGTGTGAGTGCCATAGCCGCCAACTACAAAACCGGAGCGGGAACAGCAAAGGCACGACGATGTGAGCGGGCGTGCAAGCGCAGGCAAAGATGAGGCCGGCCACACAACACGAATGCAAACACAAGAGTCTCTCACGCTTCATCTGTTATGTACTCACCGCTGTAGCGCATGTACAGGTAGGGGAAGCACTGCAAAGCAATGTGACAATGGAATGGGTGAGCAGGGATGAGAACAGCTTCAAATGCTCCAAAACGTACGCAGAAACGAACCCAAGAGCACACACACACACACACACACACACACACAACCACAACCACACACACACACACACAACCACAACCACACAACCACAAGCAATCAAGCATGAGGCACACGCACGTTGTAGTTCCACCCGCCAAGGGAGAGGAAGACCTCGACGCCGCCCTTCTGCAGCTTGCCGATGCTCTCCTTGACCTTAGCAAAGCCGTAGTCGCCCGTGCTCGAAGCGTTCAGGCCCGTCGAGTTGAGGGTTTGGGAACCCTGGCAGCGGTAAGCGCCACACCAGGATAACAAAAGGTCGCACATCGAAAGGACAAACACGTGGATCAGCACACGATGGGGGCCAAACAAACAACGCACTCGCGAACGCACTGCAGCAAAACAGCGCTTTCACGGACTCCACGGAGGTTCAGAAGGACTCACCGGCATGTACACCATGGTGGGGTCAAAGAATCCAATGATCACACGAGACACCTGCACGGCAAGCCATATTGTGCATGCGTGTGAATGTGTGTGTGTGTGTGTGTGTGTGTGTGTGTGTGTGTGTGTGTGTGTGTGTGTGTGTGTGTGCGTGCGTGAGCGCAAGTTGTGCATGCGTGAGTGAGAGGGAGTGCAGTGGCGAAACACAAACATTGGGGGTGAGCATGCAAAAGTCACATTTACATCAAACACACACAGACACACACACACACACACACACACAGACACAGACAAACACAGACACACACACACACACACACACACACACACACACACACACAGACACGCACACACAACATGACGGTGGACTGACGGGGAGGGACTTGGCGTTGTCCGCGAGGCTTGCGAGCTCGTCCAGGCCGGCAGCATGGCCGTTTCGGGTGGCGCTCATGAGGATGTACCCGCCAACAAACTTGGTATCGGCATCAGCCCGAACGTGTGCGAGAAACGAGCCCGCACACAGGGCAAGCGTGGCCATCAGCACGGCTCCAGCCACACTGAACCTCGGCATCTTCATCCTTCCTTCCTTGCGTTGGTGTGGTTGTCTCTGCCTTTGCGCTGGTGTGTCAATGCTTATCAACGTTGAGTCAGAGCGAGTGGAAATGGCAGTGTTGCGTCGTGCTTGTCTTTGTTGTTGTTTTGTGGGAAAGCAGACGGCGCAAAACAAAAACACTTTTTTTTTTGCACTGTCTGTCCTTTCTCCTCCAAATCTCCACTGATTGATTGCTTTGTGGTGTGTTCGCACGCTTCACTCACAGTGTGATGAACATGACTCGACGATCCGTGCTTCTTTGTTTGCTGAGTGCATTGGTGGTGGGATGTGAAGTGGTGTGACACACACAATCTTCCTCTGTGTGTGTGTGTGTGTGCCATTCTCAAGCTGCCTTTGTGACGGGCCCTCCCAAACGGCCACCTTTCGGACACGATGACAGTTGTTCATGTAGTTGTGTCTTGACGCGAAAGAAAGGGACACAAGCAAACAAACAAATACGGTTAGTTAGGGAGGAACAGGAAGAAGGAGGTGTTAACGACGATACCGCAGTTGTGACATGACGTATTGTGTCACATCTGCATGTAACTGACTCAATGGGGCGACATGATCAGGTGCGTGCGTGTATGTGTGCGTGCGTGTGTATGTGTATGTGCGTGTGCGTGTATGCGTGCGTGTGTGTTGTGCGTGCGTGTATGTGTGCGTGCGTGTGTGTCGCATCATCATCATCATCACCACCACCACCACTACAGATCCAGGGACGAGTAGAAGAGAACATATGCGGCCGGCGTGACGACTTGCTGCGGCGCCATGGGCGACACCACGCTGTCATCGTACTTCTCCCACCTGCACATGGAAACACCGAGCAAGGTCCGGGGCGATAGGGTGAGCGCCGTGGCAATGGAGATGATGCACGAGAAGGTGTAACGACGGTGCGGACAGACGAGCCATCGAGATGTGCACACGGACCTGCAAGGGGGGGGGCAGGGGAGACAGACGAGCACAGGCGAAAGAAAATACACACACACACACGCACACACACACACACACACACACACACACACAAACACACACACACACACGGACACACACACACACACACACACACACACACACACACACACACACACACACACACACGGACACACACACACACACACACACACACACACGGACACACACACACGGACACACACACACACACACACACACACACCTGCCAGCGTGTTTTGCAAAGGCAATGTAGTGGCCGCCCGTGAGCGTGCCATAGTGGTTGGCGACGGCGTACAGCGAGTAGTTTTCCCGCTGCTCCGGTCGGCTGAAGCTCTGCATGGTGGTGAAATGAACATGACAACAAGGGGAGACGCACGTAGGGGAGGCAAAGAGGCACAGGGATGAACGAGGCAACAAAGGGGGCAATTAGGAGGGCAGGGAGGGGGGGGGGCGTGAGTGGGAGTTGCGTTGATCACACTCAAGAGCGGGAAGGATATGTGGAAAGCACAATGGTGTCGTTGATCATCACATGTTGACATGCCGCAGCAAAACACACACGCGCGCACCATGACGTCGTCCTTGCCGAGCTGAAGGTTTTGTGGGAAGTCAATCTGCAGGTACAGCACCACGCAGACAGATAAAAGCACGTCAATGCAGTTGATGAGAGTAGGGCAGGGCAGCGATAACGACAAGAACAATCACGACAACTGCAACTCAACACAACAATCACAACGATGGCATTGATGTGAAGACACACGCACACACATACACACACAGTCCCACTTTCACACACACACACACTCATTCTCTTCCACACACGCACACACGCACACACACACACACAGACACACACACGCACGCACACACACACACACACACACACACGCGCGCGCGCGCGCGCCCACGTGGAACACAATACCATGGTGTTGATCTTGTCTCTAAAGGGCCCGTTGAAGTAGAAGCGCTTGAGGTGGATGAGGAGACAGCGAGGCAGCCGCCAGATGCCCATAAACTTGATGGCATCACGATACGCCTTGCACTTGGGGCATTTCCTGTGGTCGTTGTTGCGGAGGTGAGAGGGGTGCATGTGGACAAGGCGGAGTCAAGGACAGGCGAAGCAGGCATGCGCAGGCATGGCCGCACGCACGCACGCACGCACGAACGCACGAACAAACAAAACAAAACAAACAAAACAAAACAACAAACACCACACGCACCACTGGTTGTTGCCGGTCATGTTTTCCTGGCGGGAGAAGAGGCGGATGCAGTGGTGGAGAGAGTAGCGGCCGTGCGGCGGCACAGGCAACGACAGCGACGTGAACGGTGAGTACGTTGCAGATTCATATCGGCACGTGTTGCACCGCGTCACGCTGCGGAACTGGCCCTGTTGGTGGTGCGTTGAAACAAGGGGCATGTGTGTGTGTGCGTGTGTGCGTGCGTGCGTTTGAGTGAGTCGGCGTATGCTTGAGCGTGTGTTTGAGTGTGTGTTTGCGTGCGGTCGGATGGACAAAGTGTGTGTGTGTGTGTGGGGGGGGGGTTGAAAACGAGGAAAAGACTATAATGGAGGCGAGGACGTGTGAAACAACGAAGCCAGCTCGCAAACACACACACACACACACATGTACATACGCACGCGCGTACCTGAAAGAGGTCTGTGATGATGGAGTTATCGCGTGCAATGCACTGCTTCCACGCCTCGTTGCCGGCGCGAACAGCGTCCATACCGCTCAAGTCGAGATCCTTTGCCGGCGGCTGGAAGGAACAGCGGGAGAAGGCGGTATGAGGGCTCGGGACACGTGGGGCGAGGGCGTTGCGAGCACACAATACACACACATGACACACACACACATGACACACACACACACATGACACACAAACACACATGACACGCACACACACATGACACGCACACACGCACAGACACAAGCACACACACACACACACACACACACACACATACACACACACACACACACACACATTACCTTTGCGACGACACGATTCAGGTCTTCGTGCAGTTTGTCCAGGAGCATGCTCGCAAACTCCTGCAATGGGTGGACACGTGCGCATGAGAAAGAAGGAGAGTGTGTTGTGATGCAAGCACCATGGAGCCACAACGACAATGACAGTGAAAAAAAAAAAAGCATCAGGACCCGCACCGACAAACAAACAAAGGGAGAAAAGCACTTATGAACACGCAAACAGAAGCACACACACACAGAACCACAAACACACATACAGAATCACAACACACAAACACACACACACACACAATCACATACAAACACACACACACACACACACAGAATCACAAGCACGCACACAGAATCACAAACACAAGTACACCAACCTGGCAGTCCTGCTGGTCGTAGCCGGCGAATTGTGGGCAGTAGGAGGCGAACACCTCCTTGAACATGGAGGGGGACAGGTGGCGGTATTGCCGCGAGGTGAGCACCGTCAGCAGCTCGGCCAGCTCCTCGGCAACCTCCCCTTTGCAGCCAAACTTGCTGCGGCGGTTCAGGTGGTTTCGATACCGTTTCTGCCCCACGCGCACACCCACCACGCAGACAAGCACATATGTCAAGCCTGTGAGTATCTTGGGATTGAGGAAAAGGATCACACTTTCCACAGTTCAGCACGCAAACACACGTACACAACACAACACAACGCATCCACAACACAAACACAAACACAAACACAGCTCAGCACACAAACACAAACACAACACAACACAACACAACACAAACACAAACACAACACAAACACAAACACAGCACATCCACAACACAACACAGCAAAACCACACTGCCTCGCTCTCTCGCTCACACCTGCACAAAGTATGTGGCGAGCTGCTTGGTGTGGGCAAGGCACTGCAGGACGGCGTTCATGTAGCACGTGTTGCCCAGGTTCTTCAGACCGGTCGAGATGGGGTACGACGACTGGATCAGCCGCATGCTCTGCATCCGCGGGACGGTGAGCTCGGGCCGGCACCGCCCAACAGAGAGCGCTGCACGCGGCTTTGTTGAGCGGTCAACGAGCGGTTTCCGGACGCCCCCACCGGCTGTCATGCTGCCGTTGTCCAGCGTGGCTGCGCTGCGTCGCGGTAGGTCGTCCGTTGTTCGCGCGCGTGCACGTGCTCGTGCATGTGGTGGTGCGTACGACAACGGCTTCGGCGGTGGCTTGTTTGGCGGTGCCACGCGACCACCACTGCCGTTGCGGCTGCCGTTGCTGTTGCTGTGGGCGTTGTTGGTTCTGTTCTGGAAGGAGCGCAGGTAGCGATCACGGTGGCTATCTCCATCAGTGCTGGCGTCGTTGACTCCATTGGCACTGTCACCGCTGCTGACGCTTGAAGTACTGCTGCTGCTGCGGCTGCTGTGTGGGCCCGTGGTGGACACGTGTACCACGGGCGGCGTTGGCGGTGCGCGTGCTGGCGGTTTGTTTGCGTTCCTGCTCGCCTGCACAGCGCTGATGGCCGTGTACGGCTTCACGCGTCCGCGCCGCCCAGCACGCAACGACGGGGCGCCGCCATCGCTGCTGCTTCGACTGTGATCGCTGTTGCTGCTGTGGCCACCGCTGCCGCTGCTATCGGAAGTGTCCATACCGCTTGCGCCGACAGTGCGGGGTGGGGTTGCGTCGACCACGGGCTTTGGCGCATCGGGAACCTTTGGGGGATACACAACCTTGCCGTTCTCCATTCGTAGCTTTGCTTTCGCCTCGAGCGCCGCCCTCTCCTGCTTCTGCTGTTGCTGGGTTGTTGTCGCGTGTGTCGGGTGGCTGCCTGCTGTTTGAGGGGCTGGTGCTGTGCTCCGCAGTGTCGACGGTGCGCTTGGAGTCACAGTCGTGCCATCACCACCGGCATGATCCAGGCCGACTGCGCCCACGTCCCTTGCGGGCAAATCGTACTTGGCCGTGACAGCATCGCTGTACGGCGGTGGCAGCGGCGATGACGACGATGGCGGTGATGACGGCGCGTGGTCGTCACCGCCGCTGCCACTGGTGCCACCATCGTCGCAATTGACATCGTCTTGCTCAATCGCACGTGCTGCGGGTCGAAGCGCTGGTAAGGCATCAGGTTGCACACGTGCATGGCCCCCATCGCCGCCGCCTTTGTTCTTGTCCACGCGCTGTGGCTGCTGAGGTGTGGATGGCTTTGTGAGCACACGGCCGGCTGGCGGTGCTGGTGGCGGACGCGTTGGCTTTCGCTTTCCAGCAGAGCTGTCGTCAACACCCTCTGCGCCAACATCGCGCACTGCGCCCTCGCTCGCTGCCATCCGTGCCACGTGTGGTGCAGGCGGAGCGTGCGGCGCCGGCGGCAGTGGGCCGGCAGCAGGAACGCCCTCAGCGCCAACAGTACGGGCCAGTGGTGGCGGCGACGCACTTGGCAATGCTGGTAGCTGTTGCTGTGCTGGCGTTTGCGGCCATGCGACTGCTGCAGTGGACGACAGGGAGCGCGCAGGCAACCCGGGTCGCACGGCATCACCATCGGATGTGCCAGGCAGAACACCCGCTCTCCTCCTTCTGTCCTCCACTTCCTCCTCCTCCATCATCATCCTTCTCTTCCTCTCCGCTTCTTCCATCTGCTGCTGCTGCTTCCTGATGCGTTCCTCTTCGGCTGCCTGCTTCCTCCTCCTCCTTCGTCGCTCCTCCTCTTCTTCTTCCTGCTCCCGTTGTTTCCTCATCTTCCTCTCTTCTTCCTCCGCCTGCATTCTCCTTCTCCTTTCCTCCTCCTCCTCCCTCCTCTTCCTTTCCCTTCGTTCCTCCTCTTCCTGATGCGCCTGTAGCACCTGCCGGTGCAGGCGGTATGGCGATTCCAACACATCCTCATCACCATTACCAGCGCGAGTTGTGTCGTCAACAGCGGCTGCGCCCACGTTGCGGCTCAAGTCGCCGTGCGTGTGTGCACTTGGAAGCGACTGTTGTGCACCTCTGCTTGCTGTTACAGCTGCTGTAGCTGCCGCTGATGCTGCTGTTGTTGGTTTGGGCCGTTGCTTCGCCTTTGGCTCGGGGATGGAGGGCACGTCGAAGGAGACCGGGTTGCGTGTGCGCGGAGACTGCCGAACGGTGTCGAGCGGAGCGCCTGAGCAGTCTGACGGGTACATGTGGTAGTGCTCACGATAGCCGCCCTTGAGCACGCACATGGGAACGGTCAGCTCCTCCGCCCCGCCGTAGTGCACCAGCGCATCCTGCACCGTGGTGGTGGTGAAGTGGTGAGGTGGTGAGAGCGTAAGGGGTGACAGTAACAACACTATTGTGAAGACAGACACGGCGGAAAAAACTTCTGGTGAAGCATGCATGTAAATGACGACACACACACACACACACATACATACATACATACATACATACATACATACATACATACATACATACATACATACATACATACATACATTCATACATACATACATACATACATACATACATACATACATGCATACATACATACATACATACACAAACATACATACATACACACATACATTCATACATGCAAAACACACACGCACACATCCGTGAGACGCACCGTGAACCACTTGATGGGCCCCGTGTCCGTGCGCCTGCTGTCCTCGTCGCCCTCCGTGACGAGAACAATCCGCTTGTACGAATTGCGCCTGTCAAACGCGCGCACGCTACCATGGTTGCGAACGAGACTGCGAACGTCGTCTGCACTCATGCCCTCCCGCATGTCCTCGCCAGGGATGTTGACGCAATCCACCGACGTCAGCAGCGGGGAGATGGCTGCCATGCGGAAGCGCGAATGGGACCGAAGATCCACCACCAAACACGTGTTCATGATGGCGTGAAACTCCTCCGGCGACACAAATAGCGCCCCCGCACTGCCACTGCCACTGCCATCGCGGCCGCCGCCGTTGGTCGTGGTGGCGTCCAACATGTCGCTCGCTGCGCTGCCATCCGTCACTGCTGCGGTGGTGGCTTGGTCGGCGGTGGGCGAGAGCGGAATGAGGGTCGTGGAGGCAGCAGGCGAGTGTAGTGGCGATGCTGGTGATTGTGATGATGCTGGTGGCTGTGGGCGGTGTTCAGGGGCCGAGGCACCACCATCACCAGCGTCACCGCCGTTGTCAAGGCTGATGAGGGGCTGATGGGCGCCCGTTGCTGCCGATGACGATGAAGACGGTGATGGCTGCTGTGGTGGCGGCGGTTGTGTTGACGATGAAGGTGGCCAGCCCAGGTCAACAAGGAAGTTCGAGTCGCCACCCTGTCCACTTGCGGCGTTTGCGGTACTGGCAGAGGGAGCTGTAGGGGCGGAGGAGGGTGTTGGTTGCATGGGGTGCAGCGGTGGGTTGGAAGCGGGCGTGGTGGGATGGCTGTGTGTGGGCTGCAGGATGGATGAAGGCGATGTTGTTGGAGGTGTGCTTGGCGACTGTGACGCGGGCGGCGGTGCCGGTGGTAGTGCAGCGCCGTCACTAAACACGTCGTTGGATGCGACGGTGTCTGCATCTGGCGCGGTGGTATCCATGGGGCGCCCGTGCACCCACTGGTGGATTTCGTCGTGGCTGTGGGAGAGGCGGCCTGTTGATACGCCGTCAACGATGTGCTCATCAGGTACAGACGGAAACATGTCCAGGAATGCCTCTTCTTCCGCGGACATGTTGGGTTGTTCTTGCTTTGCGCGGGCACGCGCACGTTTCTCGGCTTCTTGCGCATACCTGCAACACACACACACACACACACACACACACACACACACACACACACACACACACACACACACACACACACACACACATTGCCAGTTATTGTGAGAGTGTAGAAGACAAAGGACGGGGGCGGGCAACGGTGGCATGCAAGAGGACCGATTGGTTGACCAGAAAGGCGTGCGCATCAGGATACAGGCCAGCGGGTGCATTGTCTTTGCATGACAAGGGAATACGGCATACATTGGTGCACGCACACACACAGATGCAGACACTCACAGGTGCAGACAAACACAGAGATATACAGAAACACAGACACACACACACAGACACACACGCAGAACACGCACTTGTCCTTGACAATCTTCTTGAGGCGCTCCACGTTGGATGCAGCCATGTCAAAGACGGGCATTGCCTTTGCCATCTGTGGACCGAGGGCATCCTGGTTCGGGGAACAGCGCGAACGCATGTATCGCACGGTGAGCGTTGGCGAATACGCCGGCGTGCAAGCGGGCGACCACGAACAAGCAGTCAACAAGCCATGAGAGAGAGAGAGAGTGTGTGTGTGTGTGCGTGCGTGTGTGTGCGTGTGTGTGTGTGCGTGTGGGTGTGTGCGTGAGTATGTGTGAGGTACGCAGGGGATAGACAGCACCTTCTTTGCTTTGTATGTCTTGGACTGCTGGATGCGGGTGAGCAAGTAGATGGCGCGGTAAAAGTGGAAGAGCGCCATTTCATCGTCCTTCTCCTTCTTGCCGAGCTCGGCCAGCTTCTGTGCATGGGCGAAGAAGCGGGCGACACCCTTGTCATCAAACAGCTTGTCGATGCTCTGCTCCGCCTTGTCTCGGAGCTGCTCAAACGACTCGCACTTCATGGTTGCCGGCTCTCACAAAAACAAGGACAACGAGAAGAGGAAAGGGAAGAGCGGGGGAAGCTCATCAAGAAGAGCGGCAAGAGATGGTCGCAACCCCACCCATCCACCACAGACAACCGCGTTTGTTCTTGCGACGAGCGTGAATGCGTGGGTGAGTGCTTGGTGAGTGCGTGCGTGTCTGTGTGTGTGTGGTTGGTGAGTGTGAGTGTGGAGTGAAGATGAGGCTTGCTGACGACGTTGCAGGAAGGATGGCTGGATGGTGGCGTTGCTGCTTCCTCCTCTCTTCCTCTCGTTACTTCTTGTGATGACTCATCACACACACACACCAATCGCTGCAAGTTTGCAAATTGCACCGTGCAAATTGCATTTTTGCAACGCATGCCGCTTCTCGCCAAACCAACACCACCACGGATATGAGCGTGAACGTGAACAACTTCTCCACTGTGATGAAGCTCATCCAGCGGGTGGGCTGGAAGCAGGTGGCCAGGGACCTCATGCGGTGCGTGATACAGTGTCACTGTGTGCGCGTTTGTACATGTGTGTTGTGTATGCATGTGTATTTGTGTATACATGTATACACGTGTGTGTACATGTGTATTTGTGTGTACATGTGTGTGTGTACATGTGTGTGTGTGTGTGAGTGTGTGTGAGTGTGTGTGTGAATGTGTGTGAATGTGTGTGAATGTGTGTGTGTGTGTGTGTGTGTGGATGGGATGGGACTCTAAAGGAAGGATTGTGTTGAATCGTTGTGGAGTAGTGTGTTGCTGCGTGGTGTGCATGTAATGTAGTTGATGTTTGACGCGCGCTTGGTCGGCATTCGGATGTAACTCTCTCGACACTTGTGTTGTTGACAGCGAGGGAAAGGTGATGCCTGGCACGCTGGTTGGCGTGGACAAGCTTGGGAACCGCTACTACGAGGACAGGACCCAGATGTTCGGTGCGTGCTGTCGTCCAAGATGACAAAACGTGCCGTGCTGTGCTGTGCCATGTTGCGGGTGTGGTTAAAGATGAGAAGTTATGTGCGCGTGTTGATGAATCGCGTCGGTTCACGCGAACGAACACGCATGCATCTCGGTCACCTGTGCAAAGGAAAGATTGTGCGCACACCCATCGCTAACACATGCAAACACATGCACATGCAAACAAATGCACACAACACACATGCTCTCGCACACACACACACATATGCTCACGGACACACACACATACACACACACTCATGTTCACTGCCCTCCCAATTCGCTCGTGGTTGACAGGCCAGCATCGTCGCGTGGATTACGCGAGCTCACAGCCTGACGGCAGCCAGATCCCTGGCGAGTGGCACCGCTGGATGCATTACATGACCGACGACCTGCCCAACTCCGAGGAGCCCCTCAAGGTCGTGTGTTTGTCTGTTTGTCTGTGTGTGTGTGTGTGTGTGTCTGTCTGTCTGTCTGTCTGTCTGTCTCTCTCTCTCTCTCTCTGTGTTGGTGCAGACACGTCGTCGTGATGGTAGCAGGATTTTACATGCGGATGTGCTCAAGAGATGCACGATATCGTTGCGCTCTCCCTGCTTGGCGGGTTGTGTGCTCTTATGATATGTTTCTCATCGCTATTGGTTCTGCAACGCTGATCGTCTCGTCGCTACAGAAGTGGCAAGCAATGCACACAGAGAACTACACCGGCACAACGGTTCGTGCAACACACTTTGCGTGTTCACGCATGCCAGCGACATGGCATGTGTTCACACGCTGCGCTTGCCCTTTATGTGTTCACACGCTCTCACTCTCACTCTCACTCACACACACACACACTCTCTCTCACACACACACACACAAACACACACACACACTCTCTCTCACACACACACACACACACACACACAACAGAAGCAGTATGTGCCCTACTCCACAACCAAGCCCAAGATTGAGGCGTGGAAGCCCCAGCAATGAGAACCAACCAGCGCAAGCCAGACTGTCATGCATGTTTCGGTTGTGCATGATCCCGTGCATGTATGTACTTACGCATTGTGAGTGTGTGTATGTATGTCCGTACGCATTGTGTGTGCGCGTGTGTGCGTGCGTGAACGACAGCACCGCCCTCTCTTCGGCGTCTTGTGTGCACATGTGCGGGTGTCAGTGGCTGTGATGGTGGATTAGAAGCATGCCGTGTACTCGCTCGCGTCTCACAACAATGAAGAGAATGAGGCCATATGCACGTGACGCACGTGAACACGTGCAACACAAACAACACACAAGGCTGCGATTAAGTGTGACTAAGTTACACAACACAACGTCACAGTTGCAGGAAGAGGGGACGGGAAGAGGTGGTGAAGACAACCACACGACGCATATGGCACCCAATACACATGATACGTGCATGCGTGTGCGCACGTGTGGATGCGTGCATGTGGGTACATACATCACGGGTATCACGAGTGTGTTGTCGCTGCTGCCCTGCTGATGTTGACAAGGCGGGCAAGCAGCCCCGTCAGCTGCATGAAGCTGTCAACGCCGTCAAGCACACGGATGTGTGTGCGTCCAATCTCCTGTGCAGCGCGGTTGAGAGAGAGAGGGGGGGGGGGTGCATATGTGGTGGTGGTGATGATGGTGGTGGTGAGAGTAAGTGTGTTTGTGTGTGTGTGTGTGTGTGTGTGTGTGTGTGTGTGTGTGTGTGTGTGTGTGTGTGTGTGTGTGTGTGTGTGTGTGTGTGTGTGTGTGTGTGTGTGTGTGTGTGTGCTGACAAGGGCGTGGCACACATCCACAAATGATTCCATCTCGCTAACCTTGACAAACTCGAGGGTGAGGTATTCGGGCATGTCGTATTGCTTGACGATGCGAAAGAAGACAGTGATAATGTCCACAGGCGCATACCCCATTCCCCACAGCTCTTGCATTCCTGATGCAGTTGGTGCATTTTGGGAAGAAAGGGGGAGGGCGAGAGGGGAAGGAACGTTGAGGTGTCGGTGTTGTTGGGGGAGACATGAGCAGGTGAGCGAAATACGACCAACAGCCTCAACCCAAAGCAAATACACACACGCACACACGCACACACACACACACACACACACACACACACACACACACACAAAGAGTACGGACGCACACAGCCAACCCCTTTCTCAATGACCACCACTATCACCACCACGGCAGTGCTGCTTACCTCCGTACGCCTTGTCGATGTCTCCCTCAATGCACGCGGCCACAATGGCCTGTACCAGCAGCGGGTGCGGCTGATCGCACACCTTAAACACATTCTCCGCATTCACCATCCCAAACCCCGCATACGTCGACTGCAAGTTGTTGATCGCCTGCAAGCACAAACATGTATGTGTGTGTGAGGTGTGTGTGTGTGTGTGTGACAAGAGGCAAGGAAGCAAGGGAATACACACACACACACACACCACACACGCAATTGCATGCACATGCACACCTGTCTCATATCGCCCTGCGCCGTGAAAATGATTGCTTCCAATCCTTCCTCCACTTTTGGCACCTAAACACGATGAGGGCAAAACAAAGGAACATGAGGGGGACGAACAACAAGTGCCATGCACGAGCACAGAGCGCACACCACGCAACATAAACCCACAACACAATCGCATACACACACATGCACATACACACACATGCACAACACACACACACATGCACACACACGCACAGCACCATTTCTTGGTCGCAGATTTCAAGGAGGCGTTTCAAGAGCTGTGCGTCCGACAATCGCGTGTAGCGCAAGACAGCACATCTGCTCTGGATGGGCTCGATAATCTTCTCGGAGGTGTTGCAGGCGAGCGCAAAGCGCGTCGTGTTGGCATACATCTCCATGGTGCGGCGTAGCGCCTGCTGTGCTGCACTTGTCATGCTGTCCACCTCATCCAAGATGACAATCTTGTGTCGACCGGGCGGCAGCGTCACCTTCTTTCGCGAGAACATCTTGATGTTGTTCCGCACCACCTCAATACCCCTGTACAAGAGCGGAGCGCAGTGGCGTGTGTGGGCGCGTGAATGGATGGGACGCGAAGGAGCGTTGCGCATGCGATTGCATTCAGGTGTAGGTGCGTCGTGGTCTGTTTGCGAATGCTGGAGTGTTCGAGAGCCAAAAAGCCGTATCCACACCCAATCATCCTTCCGCAATGCTGCCTTCAACATGCACAGCATACAGAGAGAGAGGGAGGGAGAGAGAGATAGAGATGGAGAGATGGAGAGAGAGATGGAGAGACAGAGAGACAGAGAGACAGAGAGAGATGGAGAGGAGAGACAGAGAGAGGCAGGGAGCGAGGCAGAGAGACAGAGAGACGCACACAAACATACAAACAGACAGACACACACACACACACACACACACACACACACAGACACACACACACACACACCGATCGTCTGATGCGTTGGTTTCCATGACGGCCTCCTTGTACACGTCTTCACCCAGGAGCGCTCGTGCCAGGCAGAGGATGCTTGTAGTCTTTCCGGTTCCCGGAGGCCCCTGCGCAATACAGCCAGCCAAATCACAGGTGGAAATAAGCGTGTGTAAATGTGTGTAAATGTGTGTGTGAGTGTGTGTGTGTGTTTGCTGCATCAGCGTGTGGAGTGCGCCTTGTGTTGTCCCATCGACATGCACACACACACACATACACATGCACGCATCCACATGCATCCACAAAACAAACGCACTGCGATGATGAGGTTTGGCATGTTTCCGGCCTCTGCAATCACTTTGAGTCGATCCACAGTCTCCTCGTTTCCCACGATGTCCTTCAGCACCTTTGGCCGGTACTTCTCAACCCACGGCGTCTCCATGATGTGTGTGTGTGTGTGTGTGTGTGTGTGTGTGTGTGTGTGTGTGTGTGTGTGTGTGTGTGTGTGTGTGTGTGTGTGTGTGTGCGTGTGTGTGTGCGTGTGTGTGTGTGTGTGTGTGTGGTAGTGGTAGTGGTGGTGAAGCAGCCGAGGGTGGTGCGCACCCAGTCGCGGTCACAGTCAGTGGTGGTCGTGTCTGCGCGATTTGCGACTGTTGTGGCGCCAAAGAAAATTGTGCTGTTGGAAACCGTTTTCTGTTTGCCGCCAACACTGCAAACGCCAATCAACACAACAGTGTCGTGTGTCTCAACAACAACAGTGATGCTGCGCAGTCGAGTGGTGGTCGTGGTGGTGTTGCTGGTGCTGTGTGTTGTGGATGTGGTGACAGACATTGGGCACGCAGCAACGTGCTCCTCGTGCTGCTTGTCCTCCCTTTGGTCGCAGGCCGACGCCGACAACATCATCGACAACATCATCGACAACAACAACATCGACAACAACAACAGCATCGACAACAACAACAATGATGGACAACAGCAACAAATGGCATGCGCGCTGTCGTGCTTGTGTACGACGATAGCTGTGGCGGCGGGCATTGCACAGGCACTGCTGCTGCCACCTGCCGTCACCACCGTTGCACCAAAGCGACGACAACAGCTCGACCGACTTGCATCCCCTGCAAGGCCGTCACCATCACGGCAACGACACCAACAACAGCGCAGGCCGTGGACGCTGCTGCACCAGGCCTTGTCGCTTCGCCAATGCCTCGTGGCGCTGCGCTTGCACAGTGTCTTGGACTTGTACACTGCCCTGACGTCTGCTTCCACCGCAGCCCCCACTGCAGCGCCGTCCCGCTCGTCTATTGCCTCGTCGTCGTCGTGGTCGTCGTCCTCCTCCTCCTCCCGTGCCCTGTCAACGACGTCGTCCTTCGGGGCGCTCAACCCATACTCGCTGCGAGCTGACGTGCTTGCGTTTGATGCGCTGGCAAAGGCACTTCCTGTCTTGCTGTGCCAGTGCGTGTTGCTCTCGCTGCCAGCCTCGCCGGTGGCGTCGCCGCAGCAGAACAGCAACTCCCACACCCTGCGCCACCTCCTGCCTTACCTCTCGCTGGCCTTCTCCCTGTACTCCATCGTGGCAGCGGTGGTTGCGTACGAAGGCGGGCAGACGCTCGCCAAGATCATGGTAATGGGTCGCCTCCCGCTCTCCCGTCGCATCGCCCTGTATGTGCTGCGCTACTCCGAATTGTCAGCCATCGTCTCCCTCGCCACAATCCTCGTCTTCCTTCCATGGCGCCTCGCTATCAGCGTCATCGCCGTGCACCTCATTCCAACGCTGCCCTTTGTGCGAACCGTCTACCGCTGCTGTCGCAGCAGCGCTCACAGGACTGTCGCTGACACACCCACAACTCCATTGACATCACGTCCCACAACAGCACCACCACCACCACCATCATCGTCTCCGCTAGCGTCCGCCTACTCCCATCAACCAACAACAACAACAACCGCAACAGCAACAACCACAGCATCATCGCCGTTGTCACCGCTCGCAGCACGAGTGCCGCCCTCTCCACATGCACTGGCATCGCCATTGTCGCTGCGGTCGCCACGCCATCGCCATGGTCGGCGTCGCCCGCCCATGCGCCGCCTCTCGTTTGGGCACGACCAGCTCATGCAGCAGCTGCAGCAGCGGCTGCACCAACACCAAGGGGGCGCGAGGGAGGAAGAGGTGGAGAGTAGCATGGGTGGCATTGTTGAGAGTGGTGGTGAGGATGGTGATGGACATGGAAGGCATAGCAGTAGTCGCGATAATGATGATGATGATGATGCTGATGATGATGATGATGATGATGATGATGATGATGATGATGATGATGATGATGATGATGATGGAACCACAGAGCGTGACGTTGACGAGTCGGCACATAGTCGGGTACAGAAGTACGCGGCCCCACATAACGGCGCCACTCCGCAACACAAGCACCACCAGTGGCGCCAGCACCAGCAACACCAACAGCAACATGAGCTGGCGCGGCTGCCAATGTGGTGGTGCTACCTGGTGGCCATGGTGTATTGGGACGTGCGTTCGCCCGATGGCCACAAGCAGCTAGTGCAACCCCAGCAGTACTACGGTGTGCGCACCGTCACATATGCACTCGTGTGTGCCCTCCTCCTCCTCTTCTCGCCCGCGGAGAACTCGGCCGTGCACCCGAGCACCCCGCCCCCCATCACACGCGTGTTTGTGGCCAGCGTGGTGGTGCTTGCTGTTGCATGGATACCCACGCGCCTGTGGCACTGGAGCAACCTCGTGCCACGCCGCCGCATTGCCCAGGACGTGGGTGACCGCAGCCCACTGCACAGCCCCTCGGTCGCTGTCCTACACCACCAGCAGTCGCTTATCTCCGAGCTGCACCAGCGCCAGTCTGCCGCCGCCTCCCGCCTCGCATCCCCACGCGTGCCCTCTTCCCTGCGCCGTGTTGACGCTGGACACGCGCGTGAGATCGGCAGGGATGGTGGTGGTGGTGGTGGTGGTGGTGGTGGTGGTGATCATCGTCATGATCATGGTGGTGGTGACAGCAGTCGCATCTCTGGGAATGGTGGCGCCCGCACATACGATGGAGGCAGCGTGGCGAACAGGAGTGTGATGAGTGCACGCGTGGAAGCGGGCACGCCTTGTTCGCCGTCGCCTTCTCAGAACGACAGCATACGCAGATACCAGGCCTCCGTGGAGAGCGCTCAGGCCATGCGCCAGCGCCGCGTTGCAGCCAGTGGCGGTGGTGGTGTTGGTGGTGGAGCCAGAGGGACACCACTGCGGCTGTTGTCGTCGCCGTTGGTGCGGTCACGACAAGGCAGCCCGCTCGTGGCATCGCTCCTGGGACGGCGGCCAGCAGGCACCCCCAACACCAACGCCAATTCCAATTCTAATGCCAATGCCACCCCCAACACCACCACCACCGCTACGACCACTATGATTGCCAACGCTTTCGACTCGTCATACCCATCAACGCCAACGCGACCACACACGCATGCAAGGTCGGCATTCACTGTGCCATCGCCTCGCGCAACGCATATTCCACGTGCTGGCGATGGGGTGGATAGGAAGCAGAAGCCGGTGTTTGACTGGGACGCAGTGGATGTCACCCGTGGTGGTGGTGATGATGGGCACAGTTGTCGGCAGGGTGATGTGGTGCACGGAGCTGGAGTGGGCGTTGGCGAAGAGCATTCAGCAAACACGCCGAATCCGACCCAGCAGCAGCATCAGTGGCCACGACCAGAGGTGAGGGGCAGTGGAGGGCGGATGTCAATGAGAGCAGCAGCAACAGCAGCAACATCACCACCAGTAAATACCACACCAAAGAGGGTGGCAACAGCAACAGTGCCATCATCGTCATCGTCATCGTTGGCAGCAGCAGGAGTGGCAGCAGCCGGCACCACCACAACATCGTCTCCGCTGGCGTATATGGAGCAGGGACGTCGCCACTATGCGCTCCCTGAACGCAAACCACGCCATGACGCGCCAAAGACGTTCTTCACACGCACCCTCGGACCTGCACTCTAGCCGTGTGTGTGCGTGTGTGTACATGTGTGCGTGTGTGTATGCGTGTGTGTACATGTGTGCGTGTGCGTAACATTTAGCTGCCGACAAGGGTTTAAAACACAGGTCATGTGGGCTGACTGCGTATTGCTGAATGCAACTTGTTTATGGAACTCCTTGTCGAATATGTGTCACTTGTCACCGTCCCCACTGACACCAACAACGCCACCACCAACACAAGCAACGACACACTCTGCACACGTGTTCTTGTCACAGCACACACATGAACGCGCACCCCAGTACTCAAATAAACAACGACAAGCAGTACTGGACAGCAATCAGCAACACCTCATGATGGGCAGGCAAAACAGGATGGGAATGAACGGGGTCTGTGCTGTGTCGACGCACGAGCAGATGAACAGGCAAACGAATCAACGCGTGCGAATATGGAACTCACAGTTGGACGTGCATACTGGACTTACACTTGGACTTGCACTTGGACTTGCACAATCTCACACACCATGTTTACACCACTTTGCTCACACACGACACACACACACACACACACACACACACACACACACACACACACACACACACAGACAGACACAACCTAAGCGGGGGTTCATTCTGGAATGGCGTCGTGTTGGATCTGCGCCTTGACACGGTCCCACGGTACGGTGGTTCGGCTGTAGTTGTATTTGATGTGGTCCAGCGTTCGACGCATGCTGTCAAAGTTCATCAGCTGCAGCACGGGGAACTTGTCCTTGTACATCTCCGTTGCAATGCGCATCTTGAGGTGGAAGTGCGTCGAGTGCGCCTTGCTGGCCCTGTCGACCGACGTCTGTCGCACAAACTCGTCCGTTTCGCGCCTCTCCTGCAGCGGCGTGTAATGGTATGACTCGCCCACAATGCCAAAGCGCGTCTTGAAGCGGGTGATGCCTTCCTCCAGCTCCACCACCTGCTGCGCGGTCAGCCGCCCCAGCTTGCCCTCGTCCGGCGAGAGGACGGTGATGGTGATGAACGGCTCGAGCTTGTCCGAAATGAAGAAGCAGTAGCGCACGTTGTCTGCACCCGGGTGCTGGAAGATGAGCGTGGCGTAGTCTTGCCGCACGCGCAGGTTGAGGAAGTTTCGGCGCTGGTTGCGAACAACCTTCACCTCCAGCACGTGCCTGAGGATGGGGTCCACGGCGTCCAGGCGCGCCAGCGCGTCGTTGCGCACCTGCCACTTGACATCGCGGCTCAGATCACTCGCCGTGTGCTTAAAGCGGTCCGGCAGCGTCAAGTCAGGCAACACACTCAAGTCAAACGCCATCGTTTCACGCCTTGTCAGAGGTGTGTGTGTGTGTGTGTGTGTGTGTGTGTGTGTGTGTGTGTGTGTGTGTGTGTGTGTGTGTGTGTGTGTGTGTGTGTGTGTGTGTGTGTGTGTGTGTGAAAGGGGGTGGGAAGAAGCGGATGCCTTGCAAGCTTGCTTGCTTGGATGGTGCTTGATAACCGCCGAAACTGAATTCAGCCACGTGACGAGCAAAAGCACCAGCGCTTCGCTGCGTTCTGCCTTTCTGCTTTTCTGTCTCAAGCGCAGCCACACTCCCGCTCCAAACAACAACGGCAGCAGCACGGCATGCCTCGAGACCCTCACATGCACACACAAGTTGCGCCTCTTGTTGGTGCAGATGGAAAACAAGGGCTCAATGCAGCTCAATGCAGCTCAATGCAGTCGTACGTTTAGTTACATGTCTCATGCAACAGGAATCAGACACCTTCAGACAAGGGAAAGGGGGGAAAGGGGGGCAAGGCGTGCACGAACAAGAGCAATGGGAACCGCAAACAACAGCCTATACAATAGCAGGCCCATTGCTCACACAACACGCCCGCATGCGAACAAACGTTGCACGAAAAAAAATCAAAGGAAATACATAACGATATCACGCAGCCAACCACCTATGGCGGTCCAAGTGAACATGAGCACACACGCACACACACACACACACACACACACACAGAGTTGTGTCTCGGTGCTGGAATCATTGCATCACAGCAAAGCACCAAGGCCCAAGAGCAAACCACAGCAAAAGAGCAGAAGACAAAAGAACAGAATGCCTAGCCCGTCCTGAGATTGAGCGACGAAGAAGAAGAAAAATAAGCCAAAGGGGAGGGGGGTAGTTGGGTACACAGAGGAGGAGGAGGAGGAGGAGGAGGATCAGCACATGTAACGCCCACTCATTTGTGTCGTTCACGAGAACATCGACATTCTCGGGCGCAACAGACAAGGGCCGAACCAAACCCAACGTGGCAAAGGGGGCGAGAAAGGGAATGCCAGCGGATGCACGAGAGCCTGGTAAGGCTGGCAGAGTGTAGCACACAAGGGAACGATTCAACTAAAACCCTACTTGACACAAGGCCCTGCCTGCTCGCATCGGGTAAGCGCAGAGAGTGTTTCGTACACAAGTTGTGCGAACGGACACACAAACAGGCGCCGAAGCAGGAAGAGAAGAAACACCTGAAGAAGGGGGGGGGGAGGGAGGACAGACTACAGAAACGAAGACAAAACGTCTGCAGCCAAGCAAACAACCGGAGAAGGGCGCTCACTCTCGAAAATACGAAGCTGTGACCCCCAAGAACAACGAACGACATACAGGACACGTGTCTGCTGCACCAACCAGGGTGTAGCTTGTGCTGCATCATTGGTAGCGGGGGTTTGCAGTCACGTCGCATGGGTGGTTGTCGAGCGCCTTCAGCAGCACTACATACATATGTGGACAACAGACAGGTGGGAGGGGGCGAGGAGGAGGGTCAAGCGCGACACAGCGATAGCAGTTGTGAGCAACAATGACATGATGGGGTGTGTTGTGGTTTGTGCTTTTTTGTGTGTGTGTGAGTGTGTGTGTGTGAGAGAGAGAGAGAGAGAGAGAGAGAGAGAGAGAGAGAGAGAGTGTGTGTGTGTGTGTGTGTGTGTGCATTGGCAGGCTGCCATCGCCACTGCGGCAGCAATCACCGCAACGGCAGCCATTGCACCGGCACAACCAAACACAGCAAGCAATCACAGCAAGCAGACACACACACACACACACACACTGGTGACAACAAGCGCAACTGCAGCACCCTCCCACGTGTGTGCACGTGACGCAGCACAATGTGGCACGTGCAATCGTGTGATGCGTTCTCACTTTGACGGAAGATGTCTGGCCACGTCAGCAGGAGCTTGATGCTGCGACACCGGTTGCAGTCGCGCACTACAAACGCACAAAAACACAACACACACACACGCGCGCGCGCGCACAAAAACACAACACACACACACAACGTGCAACAACTGTGAGAAAATGAAGCAAACACTTGCGACTGAAGTACACGCCTGAACAAACGCTTTTGCTCTGTTCACGCCACAACGTGACTGCATGTGTTACCGCATGTGACACGGTCACGAATGCACAAGGACAAAGAACACACAATTGCATCACGCAATTGGTGATCACGTTCGGGTGTGCTCAAACAACAACGTGCACGCAACTTCGCAACCCCAATGTTTCAAACATCGAAACATTGACGAATCAAACTAGCTGTTGGTGGGGAAGAGGAGGAGACAACACGCAACAACGCAACGGCACAATCAAACAAAACTACACCAAACTGCCACCATCTTTTTGGTGACGCGTGTTTTCAAAAACATGCGCGGAAAGAACTCGACGAAACGAAAACCCCACCCGGCCACGGCAACTAACGCACCTGCCCTCACACCCACACAACATTCCCGCGCACAAAGAATTTAACGCACCCACGCGCACCCACACACGTGCACGCTGCTGCTGCTGCTGCGGTGAGAACCGCGCAACGCCACGAAGCCGCGACTCCAACAACACGCGAACAATACCTCTTCCGAACACAGCCTCGCATGTGTAGTTATGACGGCAGCCACGTGGAATCTGCTTCAGGTCTGTTGTGTGTGGGTGTTGCAGGTGCATGCACGCATGTGCGCGAGCAGAGAGCACGAAACACGTTGTGAGCGTGTGTAGGAGCCACGCAACAAGCACCAGGGGTTCAGCCGGCAGAACCAAGCGGAGACGCGCAAACAAATATATGCCTACTTGCTTGCAGGCAAAGCAGGGAGCACCGCATGCGTTCATGCTCGCATGTGAACAATGGAGGTGTAACAATTCGGCAAGGGAGGTTGGGGCTGAACAGAATGAACAGAAGCCACAGAGGAAAGTAAAAACACAAACCTAAACCAAACCACAACACAAGCTAAACCAAAACAGCAACCAATACATTATGTGCAACGCCACAGCGAGAGCAGCAGCACAACCCCCTCCCCCCCTCCAAAAAAACGTGGTCACGCGCAGAAATAGTTTCACACGCGTGTACACGAGCCCGAGACAGACCAGTGCAACACAAAGAAACACGTGCGCGTGTGCTGAAATTGCGTGGGTCATCTCACCCTCCGCAAATTGCTCGGGCGCAATGTTGACGGGGTCAGCGTGACGCGGAGCAGAGTCCCGGATCCACTTGCGAATGTCGTTGTAAAGGCCACTGCATGGCGTGCAAGCGAATATGCAACACAGGCATTTGCACCGCGCCAAGAAGAAGGAGGTGAGCTGGGGGTTTGAAGTCTTGCACGACGCCAAAATTAGCTCCACTACACGGATCAAGTCCAAAATGATGCAAACCGAAAGTTGCACGACTGACTGTCTCTCGAACAGCGATTTCGAACACGAGTTGCCACCAAAGCAAAACGAAATGAAATGAAGCAAAACGGTCGCGCGTAGCACATGTTGGCGGAATCATCTCCAAATGCGGGCGAACAGTTGTGCACAAGTTGGTGCAGATAGACGTTTCACCACCGCAGCCAACAGCGGCAGACCAACAGCAACACGCAAAACGGCCCGTGCTTGCAGGCACAAGCAAGCCCACGCACAGACATAACACCCACCTGTAGCAACGTGTGCAGAACCTGTTGGTGGTGAAAGATGCACATGCAAGGTGGTGTGGTTGGACGTCAGCGTGAGCGGATAAAATGCTTGCAGGCATAATTGTGGTGCGCCACAAACAAGGCAAGCCTCGCCCTCCTCTCAAACACAAACACACACACACACACACACACAGAGTGAGACCTGCTTGTTTGTATGCATGCAAGCAAGCACGAGCCACCACGTACTGCTTTGTTGCTTTGCGTGCCATTGCGCCACAGACTGGGCAGGGCACGGTTGGGCGCGACGAGGACGACTCCGAGGACGCAGCGCCTGACATTTGTCGCGGGCGCTTTGACGGCGGGTTGTGGCCCAGCATCGCTGTTGGTGTCATTGTCATTACGTCTGCCCCTCCTCCGCCTCCGTCACCGCCGCCGCCGCGGAAAGACTGTGGCCCGCCAACCTGCACACACACACACACACACACATATGCACAGCGCAGGGTGAAAAAAGAAGTGACTTCTACTTGCATTCTGTGTAGAAGGCGGGCGAGGGGGGGGGGGGGGGCAGGCGTGGTGATTGTCAAGCATATTATGGACGCAGCGACGAACCTGTGAGGGCATGCCTTGGCTGCTGACGGCCTGGGATCCATAGAGCTGTTGTTGCTGCTGCTGGTGTTGCTGCTGCAACTGCTGTTGCTGGAGCTGGTGTTGTTGGAGGAGCTGCTGGTGTTGCAGCTGCAGTTGCTGTAGCTGTTGTGACTGCAGGGGGTTACTTATTGCAGGCGCGCCCTGGAACGTGTTTAGATATTGTGCCAGCGCAGGGTTGGACAGCTGTTGCAGTTGCTGTTGCAGCTGCTGTGGATCTTGCAGCTGTTGTTGGTACTGCATGGCCTGCAATGCTGCCAGCTGTTGGTGCTGGTGCTGGGCTTGCTGGTGCTGGTGCTGCTGCTGTTGAAGCAGCAGCTGCAATTGCGTTTGCTGAGGGAGTTGCTGCTGTTGCTGAGATGGCAACATCGACGGCACCATGGCACCTGCATTTGCAAGCCAGGGCGACTGCTGCTGCTGCTGCTGCTGCGGTTGCGGTGGTTGCAGTGGCGGCGGCTGTTGTTGCCCTGCCTGCTGCTGCTGTGCATTGAATGACTGGGGAAGCCACGACGATCCCACGTACGCGGATGGCGGATACTGCTGCTGTTGTGGCTGCTGCAATGGAGGAGGTTGCTGCATCTGTGACAATAACGACGACGGCTGCATTCCCGTGGCCAGGGACAGTGGTGGCTGCTGGTTGAATCCTGGCGCAAGGCCAAGGGAGCTTGGTGCCGACACGCCAGGCTGTCCCCAGAGCGACAGCTGCTGCTGTGCTGTCAGAAATGCTTGCTGCGGCTGTTGCTGTTGATGGTGGTGTTGCTGTTGGTGCTGGGGTTGCTGCTGCTGCTGCTGCTGCTGCTGCTGCTGCTGCTGCTGCTGCTGTTGTTGTTGTTGTTGGAGAAGCATGAGCATCTGCTGCTGACGTTGTCGCTGGGCAAGCTCGAGTTGGGATCTGGCAGACGACGCGTTCCGTGCGCCTCGCGCACCAACAGAAGACGAAGAAGAAGCAGCACCAGCACCAGCAGAGGGAGATGCCGCTGTCAGGGATGACACCATGGATGGCGGCAAATGGAACGGCTGCAGCTGGGTACCACCGCCAATCAGCCGGGAGTTTGTTGTCGTCGTCGGCACCACAGGTGCACTTGTTCCGCTTCCGTGCGCAGGCTTTGTTGTCATTTGCGTTCGCGCGCCCTGCTGTGCTGATGACGAGATCGCGGACGAGCTGCTCAGATCGCCTTCTAGCTGCCGTCGGCGCTGCTGCTGCTGCTTCTGTTGATGGCTGTGGGGATGTGGCTGCGTTGTTGGCTCGCGGGCGGCGTTGTTGCCGTTTGCGCTGCCTCTGCGGTGACGACGTTTCAATGCACCCGCACGCGCAGCGCCGACGCCAGCGCCTGAGCTGCCGCTGTCCACCTCTCTCGGCGGGGCACGGGCGTCTTTGCCTCGTATCCGCGACAGCGATGGCGACGATGTCGATGACTTCGTTGCTGCTGCGGCCGAGGGGCGTTCGTCAGATTCTGGCTTTCGGCGCTGCTTCTGGTGGAGGCTGCGGCGGTGGCGGCGGTGCCTATCGTCGTCGTCGTCGTCGTCGTCGTCGTCGTCGTCGTCGTTGTTGTTGTTGTTGTCATCGTCGTCATCATTATCACGAGTCCGCTGTTTGCTGTGGCGTCGCCGATCATGGCGCGAGTGCCGAGCACGTGGTCTGTTCACATCGCCCGCCGTACCTGCTTGCACGCCTGCGTCTGGTGGAGACTGCGGCGGCGAAGAAGGTACAGATAATGATGACGACGATGATGATGGTGATGATGGTGGGGATGACGGCTCACCTCTGTGCTTGCGCTGAGTACCAGCACTACCACTGCTGCTGCCATTGCTGCTACCACTGCGGCGACTGCGACGATAGCGTTGCGGATGTGGCTGCTCCCGTCGGTGACTCGCTTGTCCTTGTCCTTCAGAGCCGGCGGTTACACCGGCCGCATGGTATGCGTTGTCCCCATCAGCATCCGAGCCGCTGTCTGCTGCTGCGCAATCATCGGCGTCAGCGTCATCATCATCATCATCATCATCATCATCATCATCATCATCATCGTCGTCGTCGTCGTCGTCCTTGTACCTGCTGGGTCGTGTGCGGGGGGCAGCACCGCCTTTCCGACCGCCGACGCCCTGTTTCGCTTTGGGTTTGCGAAATGTCGCACGCCCATCGTGGGGTTCACGGGCGTCTTCACTGCCATCACTGCTGTGGGCGTGGAGGGATGCTTGCACCATGCTCGTGTGGAGGGTTGTGTCTGAAGAAGAAGCGGCCACACGCCCTTGCTCTTGCTCTTGCTCTTGCTGCTGGTGCTGCTGCTGGCGACGGCTGCTGCGGCTGCGGCGGTGTGCGGTTGAGGAGTGATCGGGTGGTGTGGATGCAACAGCAGATTCTGGACTGGACGGGTCACATTGGTGCTTGCGGGCCGTTGGCGTGGATGTTGATTGCGCGTGGCCCGTAGTTCCTGACGAGGAGGCGAGAGTGGGGGCGGCTGTTGCATCTGTTGCATCTGCGGTTGTTGATGACGGTGCTGTTGCTGCTGTAGTTGTTGTAGTTGCTGTCTTTGCTGGTTGTGGCGGCGAGGGTGTCATTCCTGCCATCATAGCTCGTGTTGCGCTTGAGGGAGCATCGCCTGCGCGGCAAACAAAAAACAACAACGAGAGGGCCGCAGCCGAGGGAATAGTGTGGAGGTGGCGCGGGGGTCAAAGGTATGGGTAAGTCGAATTGGAGAGGGGTTGTGGGGGGAATTGGTTGAGGCCCACCGGAGGAAACGAACACAAGCAAGGAAGCAAGCAAGTGAAGTTAGAGTTTGGTCACAAGAAGTTGATGGGATGGGTTGCACGCAAGAGGATGGTTGAATGGGAGGATGGATCAATAATGGAAGGGGTGTTTGTGTTGGTGTTTGTGTTGGTGTTTGTGTTCGTGCAGAAGATGGGCAAGAGAGGGGTGGGAAAAGATGTGGGGAGGTGGGAGGAAGGACAGAGGCCAAGCATGCAAAGACAGAGGTCAAGTCAAGCAAGTGCAGGAAAAAAAAGTTGATGGCGATGATGGCGCAGCGAGCAAGAGAGCGAGAGCGGGTAGGTCAGGTGTGAGCTCGTGGGAGAAATGAATGAATGGGGAACAACGTCGTTGATTGGATCGCACACACGCGAGGCACGACATGCACAAGTAGCAAATGGTTCGCACGCACACACACGCACACACACACACAACACAACACAAAGAAACACAGGTGTGCAAGCGCAGAGTTGAGAGTGTGATGTGGTGGTTTCACATGCTGGTGTGTTGTGATGTGCGCGCGCGTGTGTGTGCGTGAGTGTGTGTGTGTGTGTGTTGCATGTGTATGTTTGTAGGATGTGTTATGTTGTTGTGTTGTGATGTGTTTGTTGGTGATGTGTTTGTAGGACCTGTGCCAAACATGTTGTCGCGCGTTTAGGCAGGCGTAGGTGCGCATGCATGTGTGGTTTGAAAGGGCGTTGGGGTGCGTTGGGGGTGTGTAGAAATGTTGTTTGGTGTTTAGGTGGAGAGGCGGTGAAGGGTGGGGTGCTTGGGTGTGTGTGGGTGTGTGTGCATGTGCTTGCGTGTGTTGTAGGGAAATGTTGAGTGGGAAGAGGCAGGACCTTTGTGGGAAGTTGATTGCGTGTCATCAACACGCGAGGAGCTCGGGGTGGTGGGTTTGCGTTTGGGTTGGACCAGTGGCGAAGCGGAGGAGGATGACGACGACGCCACTGGTGTGGCGTCATTGTCGTCTGGTGGTGTTGGCATCGTGTGCATGCGTTCTGTTGCAGCACACTCGTCACGGATGCTGTCGCTGCTGTTGCTGCTGCTGCTGGTGGTGGTGGTGGTGGTGGTGGTGGTGCTGATGAGATGGAGGAGAGGAGGGCAAGGTCACGCGCCCTCTTTGTTGGATGAGAGGTGTTGTTGACGAAGAGGAGGCTGCTATCCTTCAACGCTCATGCCACCACCAAACAGTTGAGTGGAGAGGCGGAAGTGCTTCACACAGCTGCCGTGGGGGGCTTAGTTGCTGCGATGGGTTGGTTGCTGTGGCTGATGCCGGCCAGTCAGTCGGCAAGCAAATCAATGGAGGCACATGCAATGATGATGATGATGATGATGATGCGAATGGTGGCGGCAGCGATGGTGGTGGTTCGTGCCCAGCCACCAGCAACACGAGAGAACAAACAGGCAGAGAGAAGCAGCGTGAGACACTGAACGCGCGAGTGACAATGATGATGATGATGATGGATGGCAATGATGAAGATGGTGAGGAGATGAGGAAGACACGAGTCAAGTGCACACAGCAAGCACGGCCAGCAGAGCTGCAGGCAAGGGGCTGACCAAACAAACAAGCACGCGCACAAGTCAACGTTGGAGGCATGCGTTTTGGGCGCGAAGCCAAGACAAAAGTGACGTGACAAGCGTCAAGCGCTCAGCAAGCAAGATAGACTGATAGACTGACAGACGGATGTGGGCGAGGATGGGATGGGATGGTACGCAATGGGCAGAGAGCTCCTGCCAAATGTGTTGCTGCTGGGCGTTGGGGCGCTGTTGCGTTGCTGTGATGGGGAGAGCGACACAAACAGGTACACGCGAGAAGGGGAAGCAAGGCAGGTAGGTGGCGGGTGGAAGAGGAGGCAAAGAGAGAGAGAGAGAGAGAGAGAGGAGGAGAGAGAGAGAGGAGGAGGAGGAGAGAGAGACGACGACGACGTGTCGTGGTGGCATAGACCTGCTACTTTCTCACCCTATGACACCTCAATCTCGTCTGATTTATCCAAGAGGCGTTGATGTACAGAGGTGCGGCGTTGTCGGTAAGTGGGAGGGGAGAGCTTACCGAAATCTCATGGGAAACGGTCGCCCTAATCCCCCCCGAGGTAACCCCGTTCAGGGTCGTAACCCGTGCTCTTCAAGCGAACCCTATGCCGGCTTTCGCGGGGCAGCGTTTTCAAAATTGCCAGATCCGTAACGCCAGATGTGTTTTAGGGTTGGTCTCTGCTATACTTCGCAAAATTAGGGCCATCCTGCCTACGCTCAATCCTCCTACCGTGATGCACTCGGGAATTCTTAAATCCGCGTACGAAACCCAGTGATGTGTGGTGGGTACCGACAGGAGAGGGAGGGAGAGAGAGACAGCAGCAACGCCAGCAGTGCAGCAAGAAGGAATGAGGGGAAATGGATGAGCGAGGTGGTGCTGGTGGGTGGGTGGTGTTGTGGTGTTGTCGAGCAAGACCAGCAAGCGAGTGTGGAAAAAAAAAAGTTGTTTGGACGTGCGTGAGAGAAGTACGACGACAGGGGGCGAATTGCGACCCGCTGAAGCAACACCACACGCACGCACACTTCGTGCAACGCCACACGCTCGGTTGCGGTTGCAGGTGTTGTTGGATAGTGTGGGCAGGGGCTGGGGCGACCCTTGCTTGCTTGATGGGCATCGCGAAGCAAGGTGTGCCTTGTGTGAGTAGGTGTGAGTATGCGCGCGCGCGTGAGTGATTCTTACTCACGGATTGGAAGATGCAAATGGACAGGCCCTCGTGAACGTGGCGGGGCTTGATCTTGATCGAGGCAATTGTCGTGGGTTGGTCAGGAAAGGAAGGAGACCTCAAGCGTGGTTTTTGGAGGACGGCAGCGAGGAAGGCAGGAAGTTTGCCGCGCGTGTGCAGGCGGGCGTTGAGACAGGCCAGTCGGAGAGGACACCGCAGCGTGCCACACCACTGGTGCTGGTTGTGTTCTGGCGTGGCTGGCGACTGCGTTTGTGCTTTTTTCCCCCCTTCTTTCTGCACTGCTGCTCCTTCCTGTGTGTGCGTGTGTGTGCTTGCTGTGGTTCGTGCAGGTGTGCGTGTATGCGCGCCGCGTCAAAACGACGACGCAAACAACGAATGAGCTCACCGCAGCAGGCGGGCAGAGGGCACGCGACTGCGTTGGCGATTGCGATTGCGTGTGCATACACAAGTGCCAGCAAGCAGAGCAAGAAGGCCACGAGCAACAAGCAAGTTGGACAACTTACCGGTGCGCGGGAATGCGATGTGAGATCCTTTTCGTTTGTTCGTTCGTTGGTTGCTTGGTGAGGCTGCGTTTGGTTTTTGTCGTCTGCCGCGGACGATCGAGCGGTGTTGCTTCGCCAATCAAACCTGCGATTTCGTTCGTTCGTGTGTGTGCATGTGTTTACACGCGAGCGCGTGTGTGTGCATGTGGCGTGGCATGTGGAAGTTCGTTACACGCACCATGTTTGGCAACGGCCAGTAGCGAAGGGCATGGACATGCGCAATCCGCGCGTGGGTGGGGCAAACTGCAGCAGGTATGGTGTGTGATGTGATGATGCTGTGCCTTGCTGGGATGGTGAGGGATGTCCCACAACAAAACGTGACCTACCACTGGTGGGACGTACGGGTCAAGAATGTGGCGGGTCACGTTGGACAGTGGGTCACAAAACCTGGCTGGGGAAGAAGAGCGTATCTGTGTTGCGTGAACAACTTTACCATCAACTTTGTTGCTGGCGTTGTTGTGTTGTTGCTTGCTTCTTTTGTGTTTTGCTCCTCCGACGTGTGCTTGTAAGTAGGATGCGTGAAATACTGGAGGCGTTCCTTGGGGCCCAGAACGCAATGTCGTGCACGACGGTTTCAAAATGCACGTTGCCGTGCCGTGCAACATGCAGGATTGATGGTGTGAGGGGGAGTTCACGAAGGAATACTTTTCAACTTCGCCACCCGGCTAGGTTGGGTCAGACGCACCGAAGCAACACGCCAGAGCCCAAAACATGGGCGGAAACGCACTCACACGCGCAGCGTCGTGTTTTAGAGGCGCATCGAATCTACGGCAGGATAATGTAAAAAAAAAACAACGAGCGGGAGCAACGGACACACGAGAGAAAAGAAAAAGGTGGCAGTGTGGCAGTGTGGCTGTGGTGCGAGGAGAGCGTGTGACCAGCATCCTCAAGAAGACGAGGGAGAGCAAGCGAGACGAGGGGAGCGAGGCACTGGGTACGTCACAGAGGCAGACACGCAGCGAGCCAACCGGCCAACCGGCCAACCAGCCAGCGAGCGAGCAAGCAACTGTCATCATGGGGAGCCGCACCAGCATCTACAACAACAACAACAACAACAACAACAACATGGTGCTGGACGATGTCTCTGAAGCGTTGAAACTGCAGGCGTTTGGTGCCAGTCATGGTGCTTTGCTGACAACAGTAACTTATGGTGGCATCGCAGCTGTCCTTGCCTTTCTCGCGCATCAAACGCCCTTGTCAGTGATTGTGTGCATAGGGAGGATTGCGTGTACGTACATTGGGGGGGTGTGTGTGTGTGTGTGTGTGTGTGTGTGTGTGTGTGTGTGGTTTACAACGTCAACCTCTCATGTGAAGACATAATGTGGGTGCCTGTAGTGTTCGGCAGTTTGTCTTGTGTCATGTGCATATGAACTTGAAGCATCATGCACTTGCACACACACACACACACACACACACACACACACACACACACACACACACACACACACACATAACTCGCGTGTTCAGGGAGTTGCCAGATCCGCTGTTGCAGACGGCGGCCAGGATCGTCGGTGAGAACGCCAGAGATTTGCCTTGTGTGTCTCGTGCATGTCATGTGTTATGCCAAGCGTTGTTTTACTTTGAAGGGGACGACGCGATTCTCACTTTTATTAACACGTGCACACTTTCAAACACACACACACACATGATTCACGTTAGCCTATGCTGTGGCGTTTGTGCTTGGCCTGACCGCCTTCTTGCGCACCGTCGTGCACGTGCGCGCCATGCTCGTCGTCCCACCCACAGTGAGTGTTCTTCACGGTTTGTGTGTGTGTGTGTGCGTGTGTGTGTGTGTGTGTGTGTGTGTGTGTGTGT